ATATTCTTTCTTCACTTTAATTAGGATTAAAAAAATTAGGTAGTTTAATGTTTGAACTAAAATTGAGGTCTGTCAACTCAATAGCAGCTAAAACAGCATCAAATTCATTCAAATTTTTAAAGTCTGCGCCACAAAAAGTCATTTTAAAAACATTTGGTGCACTCTCAGTTCGGTCACCCCATAAAGTTCAAGTTATTTTACGAAATCTATAGAAAACGGCCCGCGTTTCCAGACTATTTAAATACTATGACTATGTTTTAAATCATAATGCTACAAAATGCAATACTGTTGTAACTGAATTTTGTCTAATCAAGCTTGATGCAAATAAACTAACAACTTTTATTTTTAATGAGGGATCTGTAGTTAATAATTAAAAAAACTAACATTACCTTTCATCATAGTGAAAATGAACACCTTTATATTCAACTAACCCATGTTTAACATTAAGTACCAATGCTGAAGGGTTATCAACAACCTTAAGTCATAAGATAAAATTTTTCATTAAAAAATTATTTTGCTCAAAATTTTTGAAATCAAGTAATACTCTATGCTTATATATATATATATATATATATATATATATATATATATATATATATATATATATATATATATATATATATATATATATATATATATATATATATATATATATATATAGTATATATATTACTGTTACCCGCAGTATCAGGAATTAGCTAAATGCTAATATTTATAATATTATATTGCGACTTAAAGTTTCATGTGTTACCACAATCATCAGGCAAGTAGTCAAAAGTTAATTTTGCTACCTTTTGACTACTTGCCTGATGATTGTGGTAACACATGAAACTTTAAGTCGCAATATAATATTATAAATATTAGCATTTAGCTAATTCCTGATACTGTGGGTAACAGTAATATATATATACTATATAGCTCTAGTTTATCTATTGAGCACTCTTTAAAATATACATTATTATACATGATAATATATACACCCACATACATATATATATATATATATATATATATATATATATATATATATATATATATATATATATATATATATATATATATCAGGCTTTCACAAGAAGACGTGCGATTTCATGTCTTTATATGACCACGCAAAAAAAAAAAATGTTTTAACGATTTGACCACGGCATATTTTTAAAATTTAAAAACGCGCTATGAAAACTTACCTAAACTTATCTGAAAAAAAAACTTTAAAAAATAAATAGATCTTAACGAAAGAGTAAATATAAAAAAATACTTAGTTAAAGCAAAAACACAAATTATAAATTTATATATATATATATATATATATATATATATATATATATATATATATATATATATATATATATATATATATATAACGCAACTAAAACAAAACTCATCAAACTAAAATGCTTAGTCTATTTTATTTACGCATTAAAAAACTTTTTCAATCTTTGTTTCAACATTTTTTATTTGTTTAATATGTTCAAAAGTTAAATATTTCTCATAAAAAATACATAGTTATATAAATAAAATAAAAAAACATTTTATAAATACTTTTTTTTAAATTAATTAGAAGTGTTTTTTTTTACTTCATTAAAAGCATTTCGATAATATAAAAGCATTTAAGATCAAACTTATTAAATTGTAACGGTTTTCTAAAACTTTTTTATTTAACGAAATTTAATCATTCTTATATTAAAATTCGTTAAAGAGACTTTCGTAGTCGGAGAATGTCATCCTTTATAAAAACAAAACAATTTTTTATTTTTTAATAAGATTTATTTTAGAAATGAACACTTAAACAATTTATATGTTTTATTTTAAAATATACAACTGTCAATTGTATTTAAAAACAAAACTTTTTTTCAGTAAATTGTTACTTTATTTAAAATCGTTTCGCTAATATAAAAACATTTGTTAAGAAGTTTTGATGTAATTAACTTCACTTTTTTATAATGTTTTATTTAGTGCGTTTCTAAAATGTTTTTTAAACTAGCCGCGGTCAAACCGTCATAGCAAAATGTAACTTGCGTGGTTATATAAAGACGTGAAATCGCAAGTCTTCCTGTGAAAGCCTAGGTATAAACTATGTATCTCTTTCTTAAAGTTAATCACTGAACCACTACAGCATACCCTCTGTCCTCTTGGAAATTTGATTTGATTCTATAACCTCTAAATGATACATTCTTAGCATTGTTAGGATTGTAACAGAATTAACTAATATTGTTAGCATTGTAATAGAAAGCCTTTTAATATTAATTTTAGATGTTGTAGAAAGAAATTAAAACAGCTCACAATTAATAACAACCGTTTCTTTAAAGAATTAATGAGCTGATCAACTTTTTGTGTTGAGAACTTATAAAATGCCCAAATTAGTTTAATTTTTAATCTCTTGAAATCTGAGTACGTGAACTTTTTTTTGTGTCATTCAGATTCACTCCCAACAAGGCAGGTAAGTAACTACTACTAAGTTAGGAGTTACTAGAAGAAAAAAAAAGAATAGAGCTATAGTCCAAGGAAAAGGTTGATAGAAAACTTGAGAAGTTGAAGGTTGTATGAGTCAGGAAAACATGAAGATGGTAGAGAGTTCTAAAGGATTAAAGTATGGGGAAATAACTAAATGAATAAAAATTTTCAGAACAGGCAGGAACAGATACAGTAAAAGAATGAGACTTAACTGAATGGTGAGTCAAACAAAAATGAGTTTTAGTTGATGGAAATAGAGATGAAAGCTCCTTTGAGTAGCTCTAAAATAGCTTTTGTGGAGATGAAACTTTACCAGCCAGTCCAACGTTTACAGAATCTTTTTGGACCTTGTCTAGAAGAGAAAGAGTATCATTAGAAAAACCAGCCCAAATATGAAAACAGTATTTTATACTGGGACAAATAAGAGATTTTAAGAGGTAGAGAATGAAATCAGGAGTAAGAAAATTGTGAGCACAATAAAAAGCAACAACCTTAGCAAATTTAGCAATCGATTGTATATATCCTTTTTTTGAAAGATCAGTAGTGAACGATAATCCAAGAAGACATGAAGAAGAGGACCCAATGAGAGCATTGCCATTTATTAATATAAGAATCTGGACAGTTTTGCAATAGTTGTTTGTAATAAATAACTGAATTTTATTGAAGTTAAAATTCACAAGCCACTGCAAGCCCCAATCTGTTACAGAAGTGAAATCGGATTCAAGATCGGCCGCCTGTTTTAAGCAATCAAAAAGAGAAGACTTTTTGGCAAGACAGGAGTGTAAAGTTGAATCATCAGCAAAAAGAGCTACTTTAGTTGTAAGGCTGTCAGGAAGATTGTTAATGTAGATAAGAAACAAAACAGGACCAAGGATAGAAACTTGAGGTACCCCAGAAGTTACTGGAAATGAAGGAGAGTGTTGGCTTTCAAGGATGACTTTAATAAAGCAGTTAGAAAGAAGTCTTTTCCAGATACACCATATGAAACAAACTTAAGGAGTAAACCAGCATACCGAACTTTGTCGAAAGCTTTAGATATGTCAAGAGCAATAGCCCTAGCTCCATTTAATGTACAATAAAAATTTTTAGTCACAGCAGTTAACAAGTCAGTCGTAGAGTGAGAGGATCAAAAACTGTATTAATTGTCTGACAGTAAGTTATTTGATTCAAGTTAGGATGTGAGAAACTTGTTGCTCAAAAACTCAAAGAACTTGCTAATAACAGAACTTTAAAATGACTTTAGAACAAAGAGAAAGGTGATAGAGTGAAGAGGTGCAAAGCAGAAGTACATAATGGATTGATCAAAGGATTTGAACCTGATTTCACAACAAATAGGTGAATTGATGTGTATGTATACCCCAAAGCTAAGCATGTGACTATTGGAGTCTTTGCGAATCAAAGGATAGTACCCATCAACACTGAGATCTGAAGAAGGAACAGCAGAATTTAAGTTAGTCTCACTAAGTGCAAGTAATTTTGGTGAATATTGCAAATGGAAGCTTGCTTTGCAGACCACAAATATTTGTAAAAGATATATTAAAACAGTTAGGTGGGGATGGTTTTTTATATTAAATATTTTGGTTTACTTTTGGCATGATTTAAGTTTAAAGAGAACTTGACTCATTCATAAATAGAGCACAGCCTCCTAAGCAATGAGCTATGCAGTTGTCTCAGTCCTGTTATTTAACCCAAAGTTGAAACTTAGGGCTCTTTATGTGGCCTCAACAATGCGCACCAAAAGCATTAACAGGGTAAACATCCATGCACCAAATGACACTGTTAATGCTCTAATATTTCTAAGTATTAACAGGACACTGTTAATGCTTGGATAATCAGTCTTTCTGAAAGCTACCACAGAGTTTGGGAAAACTTACTACCAGCTGGCCTCAGAACCAATAAACTGAGTTTTAGAGCTTTACCCTCATTAGGCAATAAAAGGAAGAGTTGCATAGCCACTATCAAGGAGGGACAAGAAAAAATCTATGAGTATAGTCAAAAAAATCCAGCATTCATCATCTTTATCAGGAATTAATGTAACATAGATTAACATCTACGCTAGCCTAATAGATAAAAAAGGGGTTCGAGGCAGCAGAATTTACTGAGTTTATGATGTTCAAAAAGTTGTTCAGTTTTCAAGGCTCAGAGTGAAAACAGAATAGTAAAACAACTTAAAAAATAAAATTATCATTATTACTACCTCCACTTCTTCTTCAAACAACTCAAACATATTCTCCATGTCAATAAAAGATGTCTGGATTAATCTTTAAAAAAATGCAATCCAATTAAAATAAATATTCAATAAATAGAAAACCTAGCAAAATAAACAGTTTGAAACAAAAGATGATTATTATTAATCAATGTTTAACACAATAATAAACAAATACAATTACAAACAAGTACAAATACAAATTATAAAACTTGAATCAAAAATTTAGTCTAAATTTTTCAAAATGGAACTATCATCAAAAAAAAATTTCAAAAACTTTTTATTTTTATGAAATTGTTTTTATTGATATTTTTTGCAGAAACATAAGAAATTTGATGCCTAAATTTTGTTATATTTGATTCAAAAAACCAAAAAAAGAAATCTGAGTAACTAAGGAACAAACTTTTATATTCTGCCAATAGAACATAAAATTTTAAAAACTAATTTTAAAAAAATTCCTACAATTTATTCATCAGAAAACTTTAGTTAACTAAAAAACATTCATTGGAAAACTTCATTTCAGTTAAAAAGCATTTTTGAGGCATTAAAATTTTTTAAAATTTAACTAAAAGAAAAAGTATATTAATGTTAATAAAAGAAAAAGTATATGTTATATAAAGTAATGTTAATAAAAAAATTTAAATAGATGATATAATATTTAAAAATAATAAGAGAAAACAACAAACCTATAAAATGATCCAAAAAAATTAAGTGGTGTGTACAACTGTTTGATGTATGCAATAAACAAAACAAAGTCTCCAACCTTCAAAATAAAACTTTATTGTAGGAAAAAAAATCTATTTAAAGCTAGTTATAAATGTATAGTTATGACATACTGACAACTTTCCAGCTACAACTAAACTTCCACAGTAAATCATTCCACCACACATCCCAATAGTTATAATACTATTCTGAGTGGTATTCAAAATACATAACGATGCTTGCATAACAAACTCTGATTTCTAAAGACAAAAAACATTAAATATAAATTTGAATTTTATTTTCAAGTATAAACTACATAATAATTGATTATATCTAATATAAACCATTTTTAAGCATGAATAATATATTAATTACTATAATTTTTAAAAAACATGACTGTAAGCTTTTTTTTTTAGGTTTAATATAACGTTTTTTTTTTAATTTAAATATTTTTTTTAAAAGTTTACACAAAAAATTTATTTAAAAAGAATATTATTAAAACAAAAAAAAAAACTTAATATATTGCTTATTAAATATATAAGTATTTACGTCCTTACATATTATTATGTATTACATCATTACGTATCATGGGGTGGAGTGGGGTGAGGCTACATTTAAAGAGGATACTTATTTTCTCATCCACTCTAACCACTGTAATTTTAAAGCAGAATCTCTGAGAAAAGAGGTTCTAACTCAAAATCCCTGGTACCAAATACAAGTGTGACACCACTGTGCCATCAATTTAAAAAAAAAAACGGATAAATATGACACTAGACAATCTTCAACATCACAAATACACAATCATACCACAAATAAAAGTACCTGATAATCAACAATTTTGCTGTTGTACCTATCAACTTCAAATTGTTCGTTATTGTAATATTTTACCTAAAAGAAATTTTTTTATATTATTTATATTCAAAAACACTGAAGCAGTATACAATTTTAAATTTTTCAAATTTAAACTTAATTTTTGGTATGAGTCTATGAATTTATTTTGAAAATATCAAAAATAAATACTTATTGTCATGACTACAACATGTAGAAATTAGAATTTACTGTTTCAAAGTTCAACAGGGAGTCAACAGCAACAGCTTTTCGTATATTATCTTTGGTATTCATATCCCTTCTGTAACTTGTTCGCCACTCAGTTATTACGATTGTTGCAACTAAAAAAAAAAGTTGTTTTTTTCTGAAAATAATTAAAACAAATCATGATGTAATTTTTAAACATTAAATAGTAGAATTTCCAAAATACCGGAAAACTATTATACCCATTTTCAGTATTCAAAATAGTTTAATAGCAGTATAAACCAGTATTGTGCAGTATTTATAAAAAGATAAAAAAATTTAGCTAAGCATTAGAAAACTTTATAAAAAGAATTTACAGATTTTTACATTTTACATTTCCTATTTATTTTACTTTTTAGTATTTAAAATATTTAAGCAGTAATAACTCAATAATTTGAAGATTTGTCAATTGCTTTGAAGATTAGTCGAGAAGTTACCAGCAACAGAAAATGCTCTTTCGCTAGATGTTGACATCAGACTGAATTGCTTTGAGAACAGCACTTTTTCAAACAGCTTAAACTCCTATAGTATCTCCAAAAATGGATCAAAACTCATAATTTTTGGGTTAGAAAGATACGATCTTTGTTAGAGATTGATGTAACTGTGTCTAAAGGTTATTATTGGCTTCTTCAGCAACTTCTTCATTCGGTAATTGGAGGTCATATTATTCATTACTTTGGTAAAATTTTGTTTGATTATATTTTTTACATATTGAATAATTGCTGATTTTGATAAATACTTGAAGTCATCATTTTGTGACTTATTTGATTTGGGGTTTTTCAAATATCTCATTAGCGACACTAAATCTTTATAGCATCACTCATCGTATTGTTTTTTGATCGAATCTAGCATCACTAAACTTGAATTAATTGTTTGCTTAGAAAGATTTTCGAACAAAAACATGTGAATACCTTCACTGGTCAGAACCGTTGAGTTATCCTTACTTAGCTCCTTAACAACTAATTCAATAGGTTTTAACACTTTTAAAATATCTTCTAAAACTTTTAAATCAACTTTCTCATAAAAACTACTTGCTCCAATGTTTAAAACTGCTTTTCAAAAGCAAGGCTTCAATTTTTAAATTCAATTTTACTGACCTTTCAATCATAGGAACCAAAGTGCTCCAAAATTTTGTTCCAAAATTTTTCAAATGACATCATACAGCTCTTGGTTTTTTATCTCGAAAAACTTTTTGGCATTTGAAACCACGTTTTTAAATAAACATACGTATTACCTTGGATTTTGTAGTTGTTCTTAAAGACATCATCCTTTTTGGCACATTTTGCTAATGATTCAGCAAAAGTTTCATGTCTAAAGAATCATGTCTACTTTTATTTGTTTTTTTTAAACTTCTGCAACCAAGTTATTTTCCATAGTCATAAAGTTGTTTCATTCTAATTTCTTATCTTTTTGGTATTATGGATAGTTCTCATGTGGATAATCAGACCAGAAATGCTCAAACCTTTACATTTAAATGAAAAAAATGCACAAAGTACATTTTGTTTCACTTCCTGAATCATATGATTTTGTAAAATACTTAAGCTGTTGCATTTTGGAACTAAACGGTAAATTTTAGCAAGATTGACGAAACGAAACACAGCAATTTATTGTTTCAGAAGACATTACTTTTTAATTTACCGTTGCCATATCGTTATAACAATAAATAAAAAATTTCATTTTATTTCAAGACAAAACAAGATTTTATCAAAAAACCTCTAATTCTTTTGCTGTACCAAATTTAATGAAAAACTTTCATCAAATTTGAAGTGCAAGAGCGATATTGAGACAGAATGGGACACTTATATGTGGAAAAAGAAAGATATATCTCCTTTACTGGCAGAACAAGCTTGACATTGCTTGTGCATATCCATCTCCTCGACAATCTCTGAAAGAGTCTTCTCAGTAGGCTGCAAATCATTGCAACTCAACAAAAAAAACATTAACCCGAGTCTGTTGACAAGTTGATTTACATTCATCAGAAATTTGATAATATTAAACTCAATAATAAAAAAAACCTTCATAAAAAATAATAAAATAAATTGTAATTTCGTGATGGTACAGTATATTTCTTAAAAACACTTTTTTAAGTTTTTACAACCTAAAGTTAACAAATTATTTGACATTTCTCAATACAATAGTTTATTTTACGTTCAGTGCTTAAAACACTTTTTTAACATGACATTTAAGTACAGGGGCACAAACAGGTCTTTTTAATGTTTCAGATATGACATTTTCACATATTGTGTTAACTTTAATTTTAGGTATGTTCATGCCTATGCCAAATAAGGAGGCTTTGCAAAAAATTACAATGATGGAGACCTGGGAACAAAAATATTCAAAAATTAGGATCCCCCTGCCCAAACATGAGGGCAGTTATGTAGCAAAATCTTCAACTTTACTATCTAATACTAAATCTCTTGTTACCATTATTTTTATTAATTTAATTTTAACTGATTTCTTGTTACTGTTACAAACAATTCCAAGATGCAACAGCTTAAAAATACTTCCAGATAGAGAGCTTTGTTTTGGCATGTTGTTTTTTGGTTCTTATTTTTTGTTGTTTTTTGTACTTTGTTTTTATTGGTAATTGCGTAAAATAAAAATTAAATAAAACACAAATAAAATTAAATTACTTACATTACATTACTTAATCACATTGCATTTATAGTATGTGCAACAATTGTATGTTAATGGAAATCTATTTTTTGTATTAGTTTTGGCAATATTATGTACTAAAAAATATTTATTTTGAAAAAAAGCACACTATAGTGGTATTTCTCAAATAACTGTAATGTTTTTCGTTGTTGGTATTAAAAAGAAAATAATATTGTTATGTGTATATTATTAATATAAGTTGATTATAATTAAATATATAATCCTTATAATGCTAAACAACTTGTTTATCATATTTAAACTATTCTTAAGTTTAGCACTACGGCTGTTATATACATTCATTCAAAAACTTCTTTGTGCAGAAATAATATCCAAAGGAAATGTAATGATGCAATCGTTAATACTTGTTCACAAAGAATTTTAAGAACTGTCAAAGTAAAATCATAGTGTTACAATAATTACAACACCAAAAAGCAACTAGATAATAAAAAAATTTAACAAACTTATGGTTTGCAAATAGCATAACAAAAAAACTTATGTTTTTCATCTTATTTACAAAATCAAAAAATAAAGTACTGCAATTTGTTATATTTATTAAATTGTTAAAATTATCAAAATTAAAAAAAAAAAAAAATAGTATTGTGAAACGGTTTTGGTATTGGAAAAATTTTGTTTAATACTGGTTTTCAATACCGGTATTGTAAACTGTTGAACTCTATTTAATAGGTTTAAAAAATAATAATTTATCATGAAATACAAATACTTACTAATATATAAGCTCATAGTAACAAAAACAATCAGAGCAAACCAACCATTAAATGCAAGTCCAAAGTATACTACAGCCACAATTATGTCAATAATTGTTGGGAGAATTTGAAACAAAATGTAGCTATATATAATGAAAGTATATATATATATATACATATATATATATATATATATATATATATATATATATATATATATATATATATATATATATATATATATATATATATATATATATATATATATATATATATATATATATATATATATATATATATATATATATATATATATATATATATATATATATATATATATAGGTGAGTACGACATTATCATGCTCACCTAACTCAGCAGTATAAGATATATATATATATATCAACGCTGACCGTTCAAATTATGTCTACCGTTCAAAGTTCAAAATATATGTAAATGTTCAAAATAGGGGGTACCATAACCCATATTTTTCTCCTAGAACAGCCCCTATATATATATATATATATTTATATATATAGACACACACACACATATATTTATATACATATAAGAAATTTGACAAATCTAAATGTTGTCTTTTCAGACAACCTTAAATCACAATTAATAATTTCTATTTTTTTTGTTATTATGTAGGATTACTTTTATTTATAACAATTTTAATTTTTACCATTATTTTGTATTCATCAAACATTTATAAATATAAAAATTATTGTTTTAGATTTATAAGCCTAAATGTTACAAAAAGCAATAGTTATTTTTTATCATTATATTTTAAAATCTCTAAACAGACAATTATATTATAAAAATTGTCTTTAAAGTATTCCTAGAATTCTGCCTAAGAACACAAAATATCGGTAAATGAATCTGTGACCCCTCCCCTTTAATAAAAAAAATTTACTAAAGTAAATTCTCTATGCTACTTGCACCCCTATCAACCATTCCAATTACTTCTCCAGTTTTTCTTTGCAAATGCCAACGAAGTGATAAACTATGCAAGTGTTCAAAGAGTTGAACTTGCACTTCACGACTTGTAAACTGCTGGACATTGATCCATAAATACGAATGAATATTTGATAGGAGTCCCATAGAACCTTTTATGTAAAAAAATTTTTACAAACATGAATTATTACTTTATAAAAAGCTAAAAAATCTTTAATAAGAAGGTTTTTGTAAATAAAGTATATAATTTTTTTTAAGTAAAAATAAACCAACCAATGCCCCCTCCGCCTTGAAGAAATGTTAATGTCATGTAAACAACAGTTAACTGCCATGGGTTATCCTTTGGTTGACTTTCTGACAAGTAGTTAACTAAAATTGTAAAGTATAATTTAAATAAATTAATAAAATATAAGCAAAATTATTTAAAGAACTATAATTATAAAATAAAAAATAACACAAATCTAAAAGTTATTTAGCCAAAATTTATAAAAATTAAAGAAAAAAATTAAAAAAACTTATGAGTTAGGATTAAAATTATATTACTAACATTCCATTCTTCAACATTCATATATGCATATATATTAGTGGTAGAAATTTTGAGGAAATTTTCAAAATTAAAATACCATATCCTCTAGATTTAGGGGAAATATTAAAATAACTCTCAAATAAATTTAGCTCAACAAGACCGCTTGATCCTTATACTCTGAGCATTTAAAAAAAAAAAAATCTCAAAAATCATCAAAAACAGCCGATTTCACAGATCTAGGGGGGAAGTTTAATGAAAAAAATATGAAAAATTTTTATTCCGGGATGTTTTTTTTTACCCATATATTCAAGTAAATATACATTTTATTAGAGTTTAAAACCATTACTCTTATTATCATAGAGTTTAAAATTTTCATATCTATCAGTAAAATAATTCTCCAGAAAACAGATGTCTATTTACTATTGCTAGAAACCATTGTAAAAAGGTTTTGTCTAACGTCAAAACCCGTTATTCTCAGGTCATGAAATCTCGTATTTCATCTCAAAAAAATTGTGGTCCGGACAACATACCTGTTGTAGTCTTTCATAAGTGTTCTCTGGAGCTTTCATCTATACTTTCAAAATTATTGACCAAGTGCTTATCAGAGTTTTGTTTTCCAGTCTGCTTGAAAGCAGCATCCATTATCCCTATTTTCAAAAAATTCTGGAGAGCAATCTGACTCGTCTAACTTTTGTCCCATTAGTCTTCTTCCTATAATAAGCAAGGTTTTTAGATCTTAAATTCACAAACATTTAATCTCTCATCTTGAATCTAATAACTTTCTGATCATCAATATGGATTTCACTCTTCTAAATCTACAGCTGATTTGCTAACAGTAATAACCAATAGGTTTTATTGTGCATCAGATAGAGGTGGAGAGGTTAAGGCTATCGTTCTTGACATTTCTAAAGCTAATGATAAAGGTTAGCATACTTATATTGACAAAAAAATCAATTTAAATATGGATAACAAGGAAGAAGATAGTCAGGAAAAATGTAATGAAAAGATCTACAAGATCTACAAAAAAACTATTTATTATCAAAGAAGCTAAGCCAGCCGTGAAAGGTAATTTTATAACTAATCCTTTAATCAACAAATTAAGCAAAACTTTTTACTTTATCTTTTTTTTAATTAAGGCTGTCAGCTTCCAACAGGAATAGAAATTCTAGAGACATAGTTTACAAACAATCACTTTTGACACTATTCTTGCTTGTTCCCCTCAGAAAAACTTTGAATGATGTGCGCTAGAAAGTAAATGTGATTGTATTTTGGTAAAGATACAACAGTCATGGGTTAAAGTTGGATTTTTTATATCACATAATCAAAGTATAGTAAAAAATCTTTTGCATCTGGAGAACAAAAATTAAATGAAAAAAGGGGATTAACTGAAGATTTAGCAAAGCAAAATGATTTTAAAGATTATCTGAATAAAATATTCTGGATTGGAATCTCAGAACTTAGGAATGCAATCTAAAATTACAAAAAAAAATCCAATGTAGACAAGCTTGAGGATTTGGAGTTTTTGGAAGATCAGGAAGGAAAAAGAAATTTTATTCTTGGATCAGATGATAAGAAATACAGAAAAAAAAGTATGTATTTCATTTAAATCAAAAAAAAAAAAAAAAAAAAAATAGATATTAAAACTTATCAACTAATATACTATTTTCATGACACTTAAAAAAATTTTAAATAAAAAAAGCTCAACAAAAATAATAATAATGTTCACTCACTAATTCTATTAAACAAATAAATAAATAAATTAAACTAATAAGTAGTGAACTTTTATCATTTAAACAACAGAGAAAAAAAAGTGAAAAGAAAGATTTCAAGAGTTAATGGGTAAATCTTGCGTAGAGATTAATAAAGATACCAGCATAGACGTCTCATGCAATTCTGATTTTGATCTTGGTAAGTGGTTTGAAAGAGAATCTTTTCAACAAAAGGTCACTGCTGAAATACTGAGAGATATAGATAGCTCTTACAGCTACAATCAGTGATGTTTCTCCAGTAGCTCTTTTTACTGATAATTAAACTTTATACTCCTGTCTTGACAAAAAGTCTTCTCTTTTTGATCGCTTAGAACAGGTAGCCAATCTTGAATCTGATCTCACTTCTGTAACAGAATGGGGCTCACAGTGGATTGTAAATTTCAACTCCAACCAAACTCAGCAAATTGCAAACAATTATCTATCTATCTATCTATATATATATATATATATATCTATATATATATATATATATATATATATATATATATATATATATATATATATATACATATATATATATATATATATATATATATATATATATATATATATATATATATATATATATATATATATATATATATATATATATATATATATATATATATATATATAAAAGTGTTTTGCACAAAGTTTTAGATGCTATTTTACTCAACGGGAGCAGATCTGATAGATTTCAAATGTCAATAGCAATTAGAAAAATGAAATATACTAATCATAGTATAGGCATAATAGCAAAAGAAGACGTTCAAAAAACAATGAATGAATCCCATACCCATGCACGTGCATTTTGATAGAAAAACATTAAATGAACTAAATAAAGGAAAAACAATTTAAAATGACAGACTTGCTGTTCTTGTAAATATTAAGAGTGAGACACACCTTCATGAAGTACCTCTTTTATCCTCTGGTGAAGTCCAATTCAATGGAGTAAAAGACCTTTTAAACTAACACATTTTTGAATCAAAAGTAAGAGGAATATGTTTTGATACTACTCCAAGTAACACTGGATTAAATAAAGGTTCCTTAATCAGAATATCCAACAAGATGGACAAATATCTTTTACTTATTGCATGCAGACATCGTGTATGTGAATTAAAAATGGTTTATTTTTGTAATTCAGTCTCAAATGAGCATTACGCAGGACCAGATAATCATGTCTAAAAAATTAAATTAAATTTTTGAAAAACCTGATTTCAGTTACAATCAAACAAAGTTAATCAAGTTTGATTGGAAAGCAGTAAGGGGAATTTTTCTTAAGAAGGCTGTATTATAACCTATGAACTTTTGTCAAGAACACATTACAAAAAGGAAAGGAAAATAAAGGAAGGAAAAAGAAAAGATATGAAAAGATAGGAAAGCTTGCAAAACTTGTTGTAAGTTACATTTCTCCATCTTTAGTAAAACTTTAGTTTGTAAATTGAATTTAAGGGAAAGTGCACCTGACACTTCAAATGTTCTTAACATTTCACACAGGTCTAGAAAAATAACAATTTGGCTCATTAATTCTACTTCCAAAAAATATTCTAAAGAAATCAGCACTTACTGCTATAGGAGAGAGACAGTCTGCTAGACAACACACTAAAATTGTGTCCAGTTTCATTGCAAACTCTGAAGGTGACATATTTTTTAGTGTCAAGAGCAACATCATTTAAACCTGTAGAAGAGGTTTTAACCAAAGAAAGACAAAAGATTAGAAAACAAAGTTCTATATGCGCAATCATTAGTGTTCCATATGTTTCTACACTTTGATTGTGAGATTCTTAAAAAACTTAGATGGGAAAAGAATTGCAACATTACAGACTTGCTGTATTAATCAGTATAAATGGAACAACTTGAATAGAGCAACTTGGTCCACCTCTCACTTCAAGTATAGTAGAGTAGCAGAAAACAGCAATCAAAGAAAACTTTTGACACATTTGAGATAACTGACAAGTGTCACGAATGTGTTTTTTGATACTACTAATTTCTGGTATTCGTTAAATACTATTTCTGTGTTCGTTAAAGTAGCTACAGAGGTTTACAAGTCTCTACTGCTATTAGCATCCAGACATGATGTGCACAAAAGGCACATCATGTCTGGAAAGTTCACTGCTGGAACATTTATCCAAGCAGTAACAAAAATGGACCAGACAATCCTTTATTTAAAATTATTTAAGCTATTGTGGAATTCTTTGGATCATTATTCTTCTGTATTAAACAGAATGAAGATTGAGGATATCACTGACAGATGGTTGCAAGATCAATTCAAAAAAACTTTGTAGTTCTTTGAAAACATTATCAAAATGAAAGCGATGATTAAAATTAACTAAAATTAATTATAAATTAATTTTAAATGCCATAGTTTAAAGAGCTGTAAAATGATTAAAATTCAATTAACCAATTATATCACAACTTAGAATAATAATAACATATTAAATGTGTATAGCCCATCGTGCCACAATAAACAAATGATTACTATCATGAATCAAACTGAACAATCTGGATTTTTGTCATCTTCCCAGCTTGGTCTCACTGATAACTTAACAGAGTTGGTTCATATTTTATCTCTTGAACAATTGGAAGGCAGATGTGCTGTGGTTAAAGAAGCCAGCTGAGACATGAATCTTCATAAGAACTTTGCATCTATTTGCTGATGACTCATACTCTTATCTTGACAAATGATCTTCACTTTTTATGTCTTATAACAAGAAGCTGGTTTTTAATCTGATCTCTCTTCTGTAACAGCCAAAGCCTTGTAGTAGCTTGTGAATTTAAATTCTAGATTTAAAATCCAATATTTTTGTTAGACAACAAAACACATTTATTTACTGCAAAAAAAATATTGTTGACATTCCATTGACAAATAAAAACACTCTTACTCTCTGACGAAGTCTAAAAGGGCAAGTTTGAGCCACTCTCCACTAGGTTATATTACTTTTTTTTTTCTACAAATACTATAATGGCCAAAACTCAAATGAGCTATCATCACTATTATAAACCCAAACTCATTTTTAGTTGGCTTCTTACTCAACAAGCTGCATCCTTTTACTTTATATGTCCCTTCATAACTTAATAGTAGTTGCTTGCAATCTTGTAGGAAGTAAATTAGAGTTTAAAAATATATAAATATATGCCAGTTTTTAATAAATAGTAAATGTAAGTATGAAATTATAATACAAAAAATTATAAATTATAAATTTTTTTTTCAGCTTCAGCTATCAGCTCCTGCTAAATCTTATAATTTTGCCAGGGCCGGGTTAGCAAAAAAACTTACTTTTAGCCGGGGATATGGTCAGGGCCCCAGTCATTTGAGGTACTCCAGCAGTTTATTAAAATATTGGGAAGATCATTAATTTAGATAAGAAACAAAACAGGACCAAGGATAGGGCCTTGAAGTACACAAGAAATTACTAGAAATGTATAATTATATGTATATATATATATATATATATATATATATATATATATATATATATATATATATATATATATATATATATATATATATATATATATATATATAATTATACATATATGAAGAGCATATTTTCAAAATGCGGTATATTTGTGGTATTGAGATAATTGACTTTTTTTGTCACACAATCATGTCTCCTATATTTGGAAAAATTATTGTTGCTTAATGTATATATACATAAAGTTAATAGATAATGTTAGTAATTGTTATAGTAATTGTTATATTGTTGATAAAGTTAATAGATAATGTTAATAATTGAAATATTGGTAAATTAAAAAATATTTATATATTTGTCCATAAATTTGCATTTACTTTTAAAATACTGTATATCAGATTCAACTTATTAGCAAAATACGGTAATAAAATACTTTACATTTTGTAAAGATATTATGGAAAGTTTATAAACTTTAAAAGACCTGAATAACTTTTAATAACTAATTTTATTTAACATATTGTATAAAATCTGATCATCATTATTACAATTACACTATAATAGAGTAATTGTAATAATGATGATCAGACTTTTAAAATATTGCTTTTTCAATAAAAGAAGCGTCAATACCTTTGCCACGGATTGGTCACAATTAAATACTGCACCTCAAAAATAAATTAAAAATTTCATACCATGTTTTGAAAATAAATGTTTTTTTAGAAGTAGAAAAATATAGGGTTATATTTTGCTTAGCATATATTCGGACACAATGTCTGTTAGGTCCTTATAAACTAAAAATAAACCATATAATTTCTACGTTTTTTTATCTTATACTGTTGAGTTAGGTGAGCATGATATATATATATATATAATATATATATATATATATATATATATATATATATATATATATATATATATATATATATATATATATATATATATATATATACATATATATATTAGGGTGCCTTTAACCCCCTTCAAAGAAAAAATCAGATTTAATTCAAGCCTAATTTAAGTTTAATTGTTCATTTTTTATTAAAAGTCCATTTTTTATTAATAACATTGTTTTAAAAAAATTTATTTGAAAATAGATCAATTTAGTACTTAATTGAATGGAAATTTTACATGAATCTTAAAAAAAAATGTTGTAAAAAAAAAAATATCAAAACAATTCATGTACTTTATTTTTGATATAAAAAAACTGTAGTCTTTCTGCAAAAAAATCTGAAAAATGGATTAACACAAAAGATAACCACAGTACATTAAAAATACTAAGTTGTGATTTTTTTATCTAAAGAGTATTTTAAGGCACTATAACATCTATATGTACATAAATATAGAGATAGAAAAGACATCTTAACCTATTGAGTGATTTCTTTTACTTGTACTTGTTAGTAATCAATTATGCAGGAGGCAAAAATTAAACCTTAGTTGCCCATATATTTAAACCTTTAATTCAAATTAGCGCAATGGAAAAAGTTAAATGTTAACTTTCACCATAACATTATGTTTAAACTTTGACCTTGAACAACAAAGCATGTTGAATAAATTTGTGAGTGTCTTGATATAAAAAATGCAGATAAAAAAATTAATTACGTATAAACAAATAACGAATTATCAGATCAAGGTGGTCTGAGAAACCTTAAATGTAATACTAAATTACTACACGATACACAAATGTTTAAAGAAATAAATAATCTTGATAGATTGCCTATTTCTTTGAGCATTTGAAATATTAAATTGGCATACTAATATATTTACATTATCAAAATAAAATGGCAATTTTCTTATAGGATAAGAATAACTTCTATATATAATGAGTGTATCAAAGTTGTTAGAAAGTACAACATGACAAATAAACATTCGCATATAGTATACCTAGATTTATAACTAATTTATACGTAATTTAATCTTTTATTAAAATATAAGTTAAAATGGTGTTTATACATGTATTTGTGCTTTTAATGATCATATACTAAAAATATGCTAAAATAAAAGAGAACTATTTTAAAATTTATGCCAAAAAAAACTAAAAAATTGTTAAAAAAAGCAGAAAAACACCAAAAAAAAACAGGTTGTTTTTATCCAAAAAAACGCAAAAGGAAAAAGATGCATTTTTTTGCAACTCTATCAGTGACTAAACTACACAAAGACAGAAATCATTTGAATCAGAAACTTTGATGTTGCAGGTAAGCATAATAAAACTGTAAGTCAAACTTATATTTGCAACAAATGATATTCAAGTATTCTTTTCAGTTTCTTTTTCAATTGAAGAATAAAAAATTTTAAGTTTATCTTATTTATCCTAAAACTGCTATTATTAGATTAAAACTAGTGTAAATTACTTGTTATTTATTTTTTATAGGTAATCATAAGTTTCAAAGAGTTTACTGCAACATTTGAAAATGCTAAAGACCTGCATACTCAATGGGATTTTTGAGACCTTGATAGCCAGCTAATACCATCAAATAGTATGCCACACCATCTTCTTTAAATACTATAATAATTTAATTCTTACAACTTTCAATTAACTATCTTCTATTCTCTAAAAAAACTGTCGAATTGAAAAAAATATTTTTTTTAAATTAAAGATCCAAATATGGAATATAAACAGCATTTACGACAAATTTTTTAAGTGCCTACTAGAAATAAAAATTGACTGTCTATAGCTGAAATTGCAAATCACTTAATTCAAATCTTCCCTCTTTTTTTAGTTTTTAATTTTTAAAGTTTATTATTTCTAACTTAATGATTTGTGTAATAAACTAGATCAGTATTAACCTCCTGTTACTTTTATATTGTTTCTTAATTTTTTTTTCTTACCAAAGATACTACAACTATGGAGACTATAATTGATGTTAATATATATACTTCTTTCATGCATCTGCTTGATGAATCATTCAGACTTTTGTTATCTACATCCCTGCATTGTTGAAAGGAATTTTAGCTGACAAAAAAGTAAATTAACAACTTATATAGATACTACCTATTTTATGTTACCTATTTTTCTGTATTGTCCAGGTATGATTACATTGAGCACACGACCAGCAACCAATATTCCTAAGCAAATTAAAACACGAAATCGAAGCCATCTAAAAAATATAGGAGAACAAGGATGTGAGGACAACAAAAGAAAAAAGCTCTGGATTTCTTTTATTGTTTTTTTATATAAAAAAAAAATTGATACAAAATTCTTAATTTAACTAAATGATTTTTAAATAACTATTCAACATAATACAAACAACACACACAAAATATGATAATAATATGATAAAATATCAAAGTAAAATTTGAAAAAAATAGCAAATTAAAGTTTGTAAAAAACTTTACTTAAAAGATTTTTTTCTTTCTTAAAAAACTTAATTAGCAGAACCATGGAAGCAGGGTTTTGAAACAGTCATCCTAAAAATTTTTTTTTTTAACCTATTTAATTTTTAATTTTTATCAACAGTTACTATATAAACTTTCTTTTTTGAATCACATGGAAAAATTAATTAATTCCTAATTAAACTTCATAATTCATTCAAAAAAAATTCATAATTCCTAAATAAACAGAATGGAATTCTTTAAAAAAGGATTCTTAAGAAAACAATAGAAAATAACAAAAAAATAATAAAAGTCAGTACTCAAAAAAAGAACTTAATTATATGCAAAAAAAGACATAATTTAATCAGATGTAAAGAAATTACTATGGTCTGAATCCATGTGCTAACACAAAAAAAATTTGCTGAACACTTGATGTTTTTATACAAATATATTCCACCAAATTTATCATGCAAATACATTCTATTCTCACCATGTTTTTTAAACCCGATATACAATAGGTTCACCAAATGTTAAATTAAACTTACACTGCATTAATTTTGACACACAGCATAATACAAAACACATAGGTTCATGCTTTCATTACATAAATTGTGCTATCACTGGAGTTTGCAGTGTTTTCAATATAAATTTGATCAATAAAACTAATAAAAAGTAACTAAAAGCAGTTGACAGTTACTTTTTTGACAGTTGAAAACTTAAAAACTTGTTTTTTTAGGAAAACATGAAGATGGGAAAAAATTTCTAATGCATCAATGTTTATAAATCAAAAATAGACAAATTTTGAGCATGAAGGAACAGTTAGAGTAAAAGGATGCAACTTAGCTGAATAACGAGCCACACAAGATTGAGTTTATTCCTGAAGGAATTTTCAAACCTCCTAAGAAGCGAATACCTGATAACTAACAAGTTATATTAGACAGGCTGTCCAGCAACAACTTTAGAAAAAAATGAATAAAAATGACGAATTTCATTTAAAAAATGACAAGTTCAACAAATATTTTTAAAAACAAAATAAGTCAGAAATTATCAAAAATGTCTAAAATAATATAAAATAAATTAACATAATAGAGCAAACATAACTTGCAACACTAAATATGATTCAAAATAAATAAGAAGTTCAAAACAATTTTTTTTTACAATATACTGTGATTTTTTTTTTACAATATACTGTGATTTTTTTTTTACAATATACTGTGATTTTTTGAAACAATTAATTAAACTATCCATTTCACTTTTCCATTTTAAACAAATATTTACTCAACTTTTTTTGTTGATTTCTATGCGTTGTAGCATTTTCAAGATTTTTCTTTTGCACAGTTCACCATTTCATGGGCAAATTTTTATACCTATCACGCCTTCTTTATTGATGGCACTTTGCATAGACATTAGCACTTCATCTAGCATTCTCTGAGCAAGTAGAAACTCTAGATCTGCATTTTTCTTATCATTTTCAAGATTTTTTCCCTTTGATCTAGGTTATTGTTGTTTGTTTTTTTAACTTTTTTTAAGCATTTCTTTGTGTTTTTCTTTATCAATAAGTTCTTGCTTATGAATATTCTTCTTCTTCTTCCTTAGATTTTCTTTTTTTATATATTCTGTGAGCATTTTGCAATCATTGAACACTGTCTTTAGAAAGAGCATCAACATTGTATACTCAATTGCAACTTCTTGTGTATTCCTTTGATATTATCAGAGCCATTAATGTTTCATCATTTAGTTTTACTCGCTCTGAAGTCAGTTTATTTTCATCATCTGATAAACTTCACTCTACACTAGCGTTTCCATTCTGAATAGTTAAACAGCTCTTAACAACTTTCCTGAGATATACTTAGTTTTTTCATATTCCTTATCACTTTTAAAAACTTTATTCCAGTAATAGTCAATTTTTTTATTTTTTTGTATCAGAATCTGAATACCAGTCTTTTGAGATATTAACTGCTTGATAAAATTTCCATTCATCTTTCACAAATGATACCATACAAAAGTGAAGATAAAATTCTTATAAAAAAATTCTAAAGAATCTAAAAAATCTAAAGGAAAACTAAATTAACTAACAATATTACAAAATTTTAAGAAACTATAATATTTATAAACAGAGCATGTAACAAATATAAATTAAACTATTAAAGTATATTTAAAAAACAAACCAAAACTCCAACTAAATACAAATTAAATATTAAGCATTTTTTTTTATATAATCAGCTGTTGCTCTGCCAAAGAACAGTGATGTTAAATATTTTGTAACAACTTGATTCTCTTCTTCTGACTAAAAACGACATAGAAGATCCATTTGTTTTGTTTGCTGTGATATAGTTGTTTCATCAAATATTAAAGTAAAAGCACTCTGACTTATTGATAGAACAGAGGCGTTTCTTTAACAAAGGTCTAAGGCCATCTTGAAATATATATGAAGCTTTTTGTTTACTCATACTGAAACCTTGATTTACTACAATATATGAAAACATTCTTGGAAATAATAATGATGTAATATTTTAAAGCAAGATTGTTTTCAGATTTAAACAACTTCGTAGCCTCTGCAGCTGAACAACTTCGTAGCCTCTGCAGCTGAACAACTTCGTAGCCTCTGCAGCTGAACAACTTCGTAGCCTCTGCAGCTGAACAACTTCATAGCCTCTGCAGCTGAACAACTTCATAGCCTCTGCAGCTGAACAACTTCATAGCCTCTGCAGCTGAACAACTTCGTAGCCTCTGCAGCTGAACAACTTCATAGCCTCTGCAGCTAAACAACTTCATAGCCTCTGCAGCTGAACAACTTCGTAGCCTCTGCAGCTGAACAACTTCGTAGCCTCTGCAGCTGAACAACTTCGTAGCCTCTGCAGCTGAACAACTTCGTAGCCTCTGCAGCTGAACAACTTCGTAGCCTCTGCAGCTGAACAACTTCGTAGCCTCTGCAGCTGAACAACTTCGTAGCCTCTGCAGCTGAACAACTTCGTAGCCTCTGCAGCTGAACAACTTCGTAGCCTCTGCAGCTAAACAACTTCATAGCCTCTGCAGCTGAACAACTTCGTAGCCTCTGCAGCTGAACAACTTCGTAGCCTCTGCAGCTGAAATTTTATCATTTATAGAATACTCTAATTGTACTACTTTCTCTCCCAATAGAGTTTTTATTTAAATCTACGTATAAATGATGAGCTGTTTTTGAAAATAATATCAGAAACTAATTTAAGTTTAGGTTTTGTAGAATGCTGATAAAGTGTTTGAAAACCAATTAAATTTAATCACTAAAACATAGTATTTCAAATCACTAAAACATAATTTACAGACTGCATAATCAGAGTTTTTTTTCTCAGCTCATAGTTTAATTTTTACTTGATTTTTATCAAGCCATACCAGCCAAACCTCATTCCATTTAACCATTATAGCTTTGACCTATCTATTATTAATATAGACCCATCTATTGATTAATATACTTAAAATTAAAAATAGATAATAGTAACATTACAATTACTGAAAATTTTATTCAAAATTTAGTTCTCAATTCAGTTTATCAACCAATAAAAGTAATAAAAACAATTTAACAATTCAAAAAATCAAAATATTTAAATAAAACTTAAAAAAAAAAAATATTGTAAGTAAGAATATTTATTGTAAATAAAATAAACTTTAACTCAATCAAATACTTAAAAAAAAAATTAATAGAAAAAAATTTAAAAAAAAAATGAAAAAATGACACTCACAAAAAAACTCACAAACAAAACACTCACAAAAAAAATTAAAAAAAAAAAATTAAAAAAAAAAAAACAGAAAAAATGAAAAAAATGGCAACATGACAGCCTGATTAGATGAAATAACAACAAAACTTGAAAACAATGTAAAATTATTAGGGGTAATATTGGACCAGCATCTGATCTTCAACAAGTAGATTAAATCTGTAGTAAAAAATGCCACTACTTCTTGAAAATGTTGGCATAAGCAGCAGCAAGTCTAGCCAGAAAATTACTAAAATTAGCTTATAATGAAATGGTGCTTTATTCATTTGCTAGTTCACTTTACATTTTACTACCACACACCCACACAAAGAAATTAGACATCAAGCAGAAACAAGCAGCAAGAATCATTTAACATGCACCAAGAAACTCTCATACAGCACCATTAATAGAGAAACTTAATCTTAAAGCACTAACAGAAGAACAGATCATACAATGAAACTGGTTGAATCAATTGTTGAAAAAAAATGCCATTCTGCTTTAAATAAACTTATCCAAGTTAACAACGATGGTCTTTTAAAAAAACAGTACAAAAAATGATGTAAAAAAATATGGTAAAAAAAGATTTTGTGTCTCTGAAGCCATTTTGTTTAATAAAGAATTAAGAAAACAAAGAGAAAAGACAAAAATTAAACAACAACAAAAAAAAAATAGTAATTTAGTAAAAAATTAATCTTCGAACAGCGGAAGAAAGACCAAAAACTAAAGTTAAACAAAATGTAAAAGTGCTAAAAAAAAAAAAAAAAACACAATAAAAGACCAGACAATTATATATACTATAAAAGACCAGACAATTATATATATATATATATATATATATATATATATATATATATATATATATATATATATATATATATATATATATATATATATATATATATATATATATATATATATATATATATATAGATATATATATATATATATATAGATATATATATATATATATATAGAGAGAGAGAGAGAGAGAGAGAGAGAGAGATAGAATAAGTATAAATGTTATATATGTTTTTAATAACTCTAAAACATATTTTTATTATATAAATATATATTTTTTTAATATAAACAGATAAACAATATACCCGCTTGATGGCCAAACAAAAGGCCAAAGCTTTTTGCTTCGCTCCCAAAATCTTGAAAAATCCCAAGATCTTTTTAACTTACTGTCTTTATCAGTTATCTAAAGTAAAATTCAAAGGTTTAAATAATAAAAAAAAAAATTCAAAGTCAATATCCTAACCATTTTTATTATACTAAATATTTTTATTATTTTCTATAACAGATTAATTTTTAACTAAATTAATATTAAAATGTTATATATATTAAGTTTTAGCTTAAAATAAAATAAAAACACTTTTCATGACAGCTACACATCTGATGTAATTGAGGTGGAAAGTATGTTTTATTTAAGATTGAATCAATATTATAATTTTAGACAAAATAAAAAATTTAATTTAAAAAGAAATTAGGTTTAATTGGGTAAGTAATCGTAATGTACTTTAAATATATATTGATTTTAATAATAATAATTTCATGAACTTAGATACCTTGCAAATCTGAAAATTTATGACATAAAAACAAGATAATGAAAATACTTATTCTCTTGTTTTTATGTTAAAATTACTTACAAAAATATCCTTCTTCAAACCAGGAGCATAGAAACCAAGGATAAATATAATAAAGCTGATACTAACACGTAAACAAAACATAATAAAATTGATATATTGTGTTGAGTCATTATGCTGTTGTATAAACCACTGGGTTCCATTCCATGAAACAAACACAAAAAACTCGAGTAACAATGCACTTCCCCAAAACATCACCATTAAAGCTGAATGGTAGTGAACATTTGTCATATAAAAAATAAACCTCTCTTTTTTTAATGCCTGAAGTCCAAGTACCCAGGCTCCAGTATTTAAAGTACAATAAAAAATATCTACTCCAGATATATTAGTTTGATCCAAAATAAGTTTTAAAAGTAAATGTAATAAAGGCACAATGATATGTAACATGTGTAAAAATACCTGAAAAGCATATAAAAATGGCAAAGGTAATTTTGAAAAAGAAAAACCATGAAAACTTTTTTGCTTTACAAAATCAGGTTTCCCTTTTTTGCTTTCTAATAATTTTTCAGTGTCATCTCTTTTGTTCTGTTGATAACGACGATAAAATCTCGATACTCCATGAAAAGATATTATTAAAAAAGGAATAAGAAATAAAGTTATTGGTTGAATGGTTTGATATAGGCAAATTGAAAACCCTTTTTTGTACCAAATTGGTAAAAGAGTAGTGTTCTTTGGACAATAAGAAATCATATTATTTCTAAATCGATAAAAAGAAACATAATTAAATAAGAGAAGATTAATAAACATGCATAATTGATTATTTATGCCTAATAAAATTTATCTATTTCTTCATTTAAAAATATAACATAACATGTATAACATATACCCTTAAAATAAAACAATAATAAAAAATTACAATAAACAAAAAATATTTTTCTTTTAAATAGTGAGTATAATATCTGCTAAATGGTTTTTATTATAAGTTGAAAAAGTTATTGAGCATCTTTGGTGCAGTAATCATTTAAAAAAATAATAAAATACAGACTGTTAACGAACTTTCTACCAGAATCTAGGAATATTGTAAGCTTTGAATAACATTTGGAATATTTTGATTTACCTTTTTTTTAATTTTACCTTCTATTCTTTCATAATTAAAAATAAAATGTTAAAAGAAAATGTTTTCATTAATCATTATAACTAAAAAATTTTTAAGCAATAAATATACTTAAGAATTGTAAAGTAAAAATTAAATTCAAGTAAAAAAACTTTTTTGATACTAAAGAAAATATAAACAAGAAAATAGATGAGGTTGAAATAAGGTATAATACATTTAAAGTTTTCTCTCTACACATGGTCTAAAATGAATAATATTAGTTATAACTAATTTTGTTAATTTTGTTATAGTTAAAAATAGGTTTTCATTGATATACTAAGAGATTTGGCATATATTGAAGTTAGTAGCTTTGTCAAAAAATTACTAAAGTAAATTAAAAACTAACGTAGCCAACTAAGCCAATATTTAAAAAATTTTTACATTTAAATTTTATTTTAAAAAATACAAAAAAAAATGTCAGAAAATCATGACAGTAAAAAATTTTTACTTTTAAAACTTTACAAGAAATTTATTTTTAAATAATACATTTCTTGTTTGCCTATTGTTTTACTTTTTGAGTTAAAATTAAATTTTTTAATAAACTATCTAAGTTAGTATTTGGTTGTAATAAGCTTTAATTAAGAAAATATTTAAGATATTAAAATATTTGCATTCATTGTGTTTTGACTAATTACCAAGATTTAATTAGATATTATCATATAAAATTTGTCAAATCAAAATAATAAAATGTGGATGTATAAAGATTCTGAAAAATCTGCAAAAACTGCCTAAACAAATGGCTGTTATTAATGTTAACTAATCCGACCTAGTGCGTCTTTTGCAAATAACGATCATCATAAAGACTAATGTAATACTAACCTATCTAATTAATAGCAACAAATAGCTTTTGTATATAACTTATTAGGTATTAAAAAAATCACCAATGCAATACTAACTTATCTAGTTAATAGCAACAAATAGCTTTAATTATAAATAATATAATACATTATATACAATAATATATTACATAATACAATATATATTATCTTATATAATATATATTATATAATAAATATTATATTATATAACATTTATTCTTTTGTAGTGTCAGCTAAAAATAATTATTGCTTTGTGTATCGCAGAACATTGTTATTAAAAGAGCAACACAGATGTTTTAGTCACTGTAGACATTTAGAACGTTTAAAATATGAGAGCATTTATTAATACCATATTAAAACGGTTAAAAAACTTTTATATTAATTTTCACTTTAAAATCGCATCCTATAATAAAAATATTTAATGGAAGGGCAAATTTCTGTCAAGTCAAAACGGAAAAACGTCACGATAAATATGTGTTATATAAATAACAACAGCGTATCAACTTTATTTTATAAAAAATTTATTTAGTTATATTTCCATCCGTTCGTTATCAGACCATAAAATAACGCATTAATTTAAAATAATGATCATCAGCCATAAAAAAATGTATTATTTTAAAATAATGCATAGTTTTACGTCTGATGATGGTCTAAGCTATTCATCGTCATTGTCAATACGCCATCAGATATAAATAACACTCTGAACAATTCAGATCAAAATTTAACAAATAAATATTAATAATAAATAGTTAGTTAGCATTTTGATTACATATATGCATTTAAGATTTTTGTGTCCGGTACAAATTAAATCGTTCATCGACCTTACCTTTAGGTTGTATTTTAGGGAGATTTGTGCATAAAATATGATAAAATATAAAATAATATGAAAAAATAATATATAAAATAATATTAAAAGTAATATAAAATAATATAAGAAAATAATATGTAAAATAATATTAAAAATGATATATAAAATAATATAAAATAATATATAAAAATAATATAAAAAATAAAAAATTAAATAAAAAATTTATTTATTATTTATTATTTTATTTATTATTTTGTGATTATTATTAATATCAATTTTTTTTTAATTATTATTTATTAAAAGATCTGTACAGAGCTCCCTAAAATGCGACCTAAAGGGAGGGGCAGTGAACATTTAATTTGTACCGAGCGCCAAAATCTTAAATGCGGCCCTGCATATATATAATCAAAATGCTAACTAACTATTTATTATTAATATTACTTTATTTGTTATATTTTGATCTGAATAGTTCAGAGTGTCATTTTTATCTGATGACGTATTAACAATGACAATGAATAGCTTAGACCATCATCAGACGTAAAACTTTGCATTATTTTAAAATAATGCTTTTTTTCATGGCTTTTTTGGTTTATTTGAATTCGGTCGGACGCTACTTTTTATACAGGATAGAAATTTGACAAAAATTTTTAAAACTGCAGTTACTTTGATAATTATGGGTCCCCTACTGCTCAGGGCCCTTCCGCATTGCGCCACTGCAATTAATTTAACTAAGTAAATAAAGAGGAAAATATTAATGAAAATTAATAACTGATAAATTTTTTGAAATCATCTATGCGAAATGGGGTGTTAAATTTATAAATAAGAGAATGCTTTAAGTTTATGTCGGGTTAGATGGATTGAACAAAATGGTGTTAAATTTCAGATCAAGTTTGATAAAATTATTTGAAACTTTTAGTTTGATATCTTAATAGAAAAAACAAGATATCTCCACAAAGACCACATTATGAAAAAAATATCTGGCACCTTAGTTGTACACACGTTTCATTACTCAATATGTTAAACACAACAGTTTCTTTAAACAAAAACATTAGATAAGGAATATGCAAATTTTATCCTACAACATACTATTATTATCCTACAACATACTATTGTAGATTATATAATAACTACTAACAATTGCATAATAAATGTCAAAAAGTTTATTAATGTATTTGCATCTTCGAAAAATTGGAAACATAAACTTTTAAAATTATAAAATTTGCTTCATTTATTTTAAAAAGATATATTAAATATTATTTTTTTGTAAATACAATATATGTCTTGGAGAAACATGATAAATTAAAAAGAGGATAGCAGAGTGAGATAAAAGTACACATAGACAGGTGTCAAAAGGAAAGTTAAAAATCATTGAGAAAAGAAATAATAAACATAAATTAGCAAAATGTACCACATACTAAAAAATAATAACGATATTTCAAGGATTGTCATGAATAACTCAACTGTGTATGCATAAAAAATATTTTTCAAGGAGTAGAATTAGTTGTATTATCATTGAGTATTGTAGTCAGTGTTAAAAAGATGATTATCTATGAACGTATGTATCATAGTTTAAGTACAATATTTTATTTTTTGTTTTTTCAAGTACATCTTCAAGTGAACATCTAGCTTATAGCTACTCCTACTATTTAATACTGCTATTATTTTTGACTGAAGGAGCTTTTGCTGTTTATCAGGGTTTATATGAATATGTAAATGGAGATATTATATTGACCATTGAAGAGTTTAATTGCTGCCTTGAAGAAAAATAACTGGTTCATGCCTACCTTGTGGAGCTGACGAAGCTGAGTAAAAAAAGGATAAAATTTGCATTCATTTTTTAATTATTTACTAAAACCTAAAAACAGAAATTAATATCACGCAAATTTCTTTCTCGGGTAGCAGAAAAGACATAAAGGATAGCAAGATTACGCCATAAAAATGTATCTTATTTTTATGAAATAATATAGCAATATTTATGTTGCTACATTATTTTATTGTAATTTACTTATCCTCAACACTTTGTGTGTAGAAAAATGGAAGAAAGATGCTTTATTGGACACTACTTAATCATAGTATATAATAAATTACAAAGTTATAATTATTGGAAATGTTAAATATTGAAAATAAATGATCTGTTCTGATCGTTTATTGTCAATTTTCCATAATTATAAGCTCTTTCTTGGTCGGAATTCCAGTATTTTTTCATCGGCATTAACTAAATTCATGTTAATGCCGATGAGCGGAACTGATCTAAAGACTCCAAAATAGTGTTATTTAGATACATTATTACGGGTAGAAAAAAGATTTTGAAAATTATATATAAAAAAGAAAAGTTTCTTTAAATATTATAAAAACCTTAAGCAAAAAAAATTATAACATTTAAAGATCTTGTTTGGGCATAATATGCTGACAGAACCATGCTAATTCCAAATAAAAGTATTTAAATATTTTGTATATCACCTTAACTACACCGAGTACTAGATCTATATTGTTATTATATTTCAACTTTCTATTTTATTTCGATTAAAGCGATTACTGATTCCTGGGACCATTTTAACGTTAGATTGTCTTTTTTCAATTTATTGATTTATAAAGTACCCTAGTACGGTTGTGGCGAGTGAAACTCAAGACTTAAAAACGCTTATTTGAAGCGGTGGAATTTATGACCTCGAAATCATTAGTTGTTAATTTTTATTGCTAACTATATTTTTAAATTTAGCAAAAAGGTTTTCTTTACTTTTTGCTTTTCATTAATCAATAACGTCTCATCAATCAATAACTGTAAATATTTAATAAAATTTTTTAATATTTAATTTTACAGTTTTCAGTAACTTGTAGGTTAATTGAATAGATATTAAAAAATGAAATATAGCAAGCTAGCTCTTTGAACTTCTTTAACAAAGAAAAATATTGATACCGTTGTTTTGATAAGCCCTCCTTTAAGCCATGCAGACCATCCGAGAGATTCGATATTTTTTTTACCAATTTGTTACAAAATGGAGAGAAACTGAGGAGATTGTAAAAAGTGAATTTTTCACTCTATACAATCTCTTCAGCTCTTTCTTGTATCTCTTGTTAATTTTTTGCAATTCAAAACTGTATATAGGTATTGGCAACGAAACTGAGAGCCGGAAAGAGATTTTCCGTTGAATAATTCAAGTAACTCTGTTTAAACTTATTTCCTCGCATTATGAAATCTTGCATCCAGAGGTATTTCGGTTTTTTAAAATTTATTAAATTTTCTTTTAACCTTTGTTAATTAAAATTCATTATCATATAAATAGGATCTAATCACAAGATCTGTCAGTTTGGAAATGACAATTTTCACGGCGCTTAATAATTGGTGACTGAACACAAAAAGATACTTTTGAATCACATAAAGGCAGTTGCTGAAAAATAAAAGAAAAGATGAGCATACACAAGCCCACTATTTATCTTGGCGTTCGGAGGAGCCAATAATGTTAATCTGATCCTTACTGTTCAAATGAAGACGGACTTGACATAAAAAATTGTTGAGATTAAAGATACAAATAATGAGATTAAGGATACAAATATTTAAAATAGACCGATTTTCTTCACACTAAACTTCACAGACAAAATAGAACTCTAGAATTAAATCTATTAATACGCTGTCTAGACGACCGAGAAAGATCATCGAAGCGTTGAAATCTCACTGCTGACATTTTAAATGAAATTTGCTCTTTTCTTAAGTAGATCAAATCTTTTGAGTTTGTCGTTTTTACTATCTTCTGGTTTAAGACTTTGACAGCCTTGAATAATTATAGCCTCTTTCTCCTACTTCTTTAATCCCACAGCTCAACAAACAGTCAAGAATATAAAGTCAATGATTTCAATATTCTGTAATCAAATAATCTTAGCAAAGACAAATTTTTTGATGAGTTCCGTTAGTTTTTGTTTATTTGACGCCATTGACTGACAAGTGATTTGCCCTTTAGATCTGCGGAATAGCGTTTATGCGAAAGTGTCCGAAGGAAATTTCCCCAAGATATGTATTTGTATCTTTCTTACCTTGCCATTATCTGGGGCTGAAGGTGAGAGATTCTTTAACAAGCTAACTCTGATCAAGAACTCTCAGAAAGTTACTATGGGATACCATTGTCTTAACAATTGTCTCATTTTTTTGATCCCTTTCAATCGAAACAGATCAGGCAAAGAAAGTTAATTTCGAAGTTATAAATTAAGTATAAAATAACTTTTTACCAATACAGAAATGTTTTTTTCTTTGTTGTGCTTAATTGTTTGATTCGTGAAATGACATAAATACAGAGTTATTTAAAAATAATTTGTGAATACTAGAAGTTGGGGTACAACTGGTAAAATTGTACCGGACGGCAAAGATTATTTTATGATTATTTAAGACTAAGATTATTTCAATTATAATAATAATGATTATTATGAAATAAATAATTAAACTCTTCTTCCATTAAAAGTAACTACATACTTGCTCTCAATGTCGAGAGCATCTTCAATATGTTTAAATTTATTCCATGTAAAGGTGTTTTAAAAGACTCTTTATTACCTACCCCAGTCATTTTAACTGGCATCTAAAACGTTTAAACGGTTAAAGACCCCACATTAAATTTCAGGTATTTTTACTATATACTTCATGAAGTAAAAATACCTGAAAAATGCCCTTTTTCTAAAAATGAAAAATGTTTAAAAATTGAGGAGAGTTCTAAATTTATATAGTCTTTTTTTTTGAGCTTAAAAAAAAGAGTTTGGTGAAATTTGAAATCTAAATACCAGCTTAACAATAGTTACTATATTTTCCATGACAAAATCTGTTTGGAGTGCAGAAAAATAAATTACTTCAATTGTAGAGCTCATATACCATATTTCATAAATATTAACATTGACATGCTATTATAATCATTAACATGTCAGCAAAACTATATATAGAAAAAACAGATTCGATCATGCAAAACCATTAATGAGGTATATGTAAATGATGAGTGTAAATAAATTTAGTATATTTCAATGCATTATTTTTAAGTATAAAAATAATGCATTGAAATATTTACCAAAAGTTTTGAAAACAAATTTAAGAAAAATTAAAACAATAACTACTCTGTAAGATCTAATAAACTTATAAACTACTTATAAACTACTAATCTGGAAACTAACAAAATATATAGAGTACAGCGTAACGTATCGAGGACCAATAATAAGGAACAGTTTTAAAAATAAAAATTTTAATCAGTAAACTTGTTTAAGTTTTTATTAAAAGAGAATTTTTAAAATAACTCTTTTAGTTAAGAGTCTGATAGCCATTTAAAAATATATGCATTAACTTATCTTAATTAAACTTGATATATGTAACCTAGGAACAGAATATAAAGCAGAATCTTTATACCTGTATCTAAGAATGTATGTAACAAAATTGTTTTACCTATATTCAACAAATTTCTGAAAATAATATTATGAAGAGTAAAATAGTTAAAAGTTGCATAATAAAATCTCTTCTTATTTTTTAAAAAAATGTTACGTTTCAAAATAATTTTCTGCCTAAATTTTTGACTTAGAAGTGAAGAGCAAATGATTTCAAAGAAAGAAAGAAAAAAAAAACTGCAAATTTACTAGTTCATGAAACGTTTACTTATTTAAATCGAGACAAGATTTCAGAAGTGATTAAGACAACACTAATATGGACAACTGGAACACGTAGCAGTAGTAATTGAAACAAAACAGAAATATATAAATTAATCAGTAAAAAATAAAAAAAAGATTTATAAAAACTTATGTTTACATTTAATGTACAAGAACTTAGAAAAAGTAGAGAGTCTTGTTGAAACATTAAATGTACAACTCTAAAAACTTTTTAAAAAAAATAACCTAATAATTTTTTAAGAGACTTTGCAATTTTTTTTCACACTCGTCTCTGATTTCCTACGTTTGGGATTTTTATTTACTTGTAGGTCCGATGAGTTTGTATTTAATTCATCTTTTTCAATATCGTCATCAACGATATCGGCAGAAATTTTTTCCGACTCGAGAACTCGTTTCTTTAGGTGAGCAATCGTATATAGAGCGTTTTCTTTATTTTTAATTGAGTTATCGTCAATAACTTCTTCAAAACACGAGTTCTTTCGTTTAGAACTAATAGATTCATTACTTTTAGTTGGTTTGATTTTCTTTTTAATGGACCCTGCACCATTAGGTAAGTAAGTATTTTCTTTAGAGTTTGATGCTTTCTCTTCTGAAGCGATTTTTTCGTGGGTAGTATCATGGAGACCGTTTTGTTTATTGGAATCAATAAGTTTTTTTGTGTTCGTGTCAGTATTGGTAACTTTAAATAATAGAATATCACCGTTGCAAGTTTTTTCACTATCATCTTTACAACTGTTTCCCATATATTCATTTTCTGTTTTAGAAATACGGGAAGACCTGTTTTTGTCCGGATATGTTTTTATGTTTTCATTTAATTTAGAAATTTGTTCAGAATTTTCCATTTTTTCAATTGAGTTCAAACCATTATTAAAAACCAACGGCTCCTCCGATGGTTTTCCAGTTACTGAAAAATGCAAATAGTTTTACAAGTTGATATAAAATATTTTTTTACCAATGAATAAGATCAATAATTTGATAACATTATATTACCTATAAATGATGCTAAAGTTTTGGCTTTTTTCCATTGCAGTTCGGAGGATTTGGATGATTTTTGGTTAGATAATGGAATTTTATCTGTTTTTAAGTTACTCTTTCGTAACGGAAAACCGTTTTTGATTTCATCCATCAAAGAATCGACAATGCACTTCTCTTCTACGCGCTCGGCAGGTTTTTTTTTGCCTTTAACGTTTAATCCTAGTTTTTCTTGCCTTGCTTTTTCTTCCGCCTGTTTTTGCTCACGTGCAAGTCTTTGTTTTTCTTGAAGTTTGAATTGTTCGTTTTCCTTTTAAATAAAAGCAAATATTATAAAAATTGATAATAATCACATTAGGTGCATAAAAATCTTTTCTAGTCTTTTAAATGAAAGAAAATATTATAAAATTAATAATCACATTATGTAAATGATTCTTATCTTACTTCTTTTGCTTTCTTCAAATTTGTAGAAAATTGTAAGAATATACTTAAGTATTCTTCTACTTTAAACTTTGTTGCGTCTTCACAAAAGTAATCAGCGAATTGGCAACATAAATTACGTATATCTTTAATATTAGTTTCCAGCTCTAAACATTGCAACATAGATTCCTGGAAACGAAATAAAACCTTCAATAAGTATGTTGAAGTTCGTTAAAAGAATTTGCCTATAAGTTGTATCTATAAAAAGAAATAACGTTATTTATCACCTTGAGAAAAGTTCCCATCTGTTCTTTAATGTCAGAAGGAGCTTTTTTTAAAGATTTTTTAGTGGATTCTAAATTGTTTTTCAAAACGTTGACTTCTTTTTCTAAATTATCAATATTTAATCGACATGCAGCTTGAAGCACATCCGTCATTTTATCAGGGAACTCCATGAGTTCTTCTTTTTTATCTTCAGCTATCTATGAGCAATATAATGAAGAATAAAACATTGACTAAAATTTTATGAAAAATTCTGTTTATCCGCGATCATCTTTAAAATATCTTTTAATGATATTCTATAATAGTATAAACCAAGATAATTGTTTACATAAGCATGATATTTTTGATAAAACCAAGAAATTGTTTTAAAATTTTTTGATAAAACCAAAAAATTGATAAAACCAAAAATTTGATTTAAAATTTTTCAAAAAAATATTCTTAAAATAACTTTTTATACTAGATCAGGTTTTTGATTAGACAAAGTTTTCACTAACTTTAAAAACATTTAGCAACCTCGGAGGATGTATGCAATGTCGGAAGATTTATTGCTTGTTTAGTTTTTTTTTTTTTTTATGACGATGAAATAAAAAAATCTTGTAAGCGACTTAAATCCGTGTTAAAAACATTTCAAAACGATGGTAAATATTTGGATTTTTCAAAAGTTTAACATCAAATTATAGAAATTTTCTTAAATTTTTAGACCTAAGTTTTTAGATGATTTTTAATCAAGATAAAAAGTTTTATTGTAATTAACCATAAAAGAAAAAGGGGAGAGAGAGGAAAGAATCTGCTCTAGTGCCCTTAATCCTTTATCATATTGTTATCTCCATGACCAAGTGTGTTATATAACTACTTTACCTTATTTTAAAACGCTGAGCTCCCTTCTACTCACTCTTCCTTTTACCGTCACAAAAAATAATCTACATATACAAAAAATCATACTTGGACAATAAAATGCAACAAGTTCATTCTGGGTTTATTAGCACGCGTATCAGACAGCTTGAGTAGTGAGGTAATCTTAAAAGCTTCTGCGTCACCAGCGTGTGAACCCTAAAACACTTTTATTTATAATAACAAACAAAGTTGCTATGAAAGCTTAAAAATATTACAAGTTTTTTTTAATAAGAAACTTAGCAAATGGGCTAGTACTAGAAAGTTTTTTTTTTTATTATTTAAAAAGCTTTTTTTTTTTCAATCGATTAAAGTTTCTTAAAATTTTTTAAAGTTATTTTTACGTAATTTATTCGTAATCAAAAGAAAGTCTGTCACATCCACGTGCAATTAAATGGAATTCCTTAGATGGCGCGTGCACATTAAATACTCATTGTAACCTGGTAAATAATGATTTTTAACCTCGTGTTAAGTTAATGCGAAAATAAGTTTCTTATTAAAAAATAAGAAAAAAAAAGTTTCTCAAGATTTTTGGGGCTTCTAGTACTAGATTCTCAAAAATAAGTTTCTTATAAAAAAAACGTGTAACTTAATAAATTTAGGCTCATAAAATAATTATATAGGTTGATAAAAAATAAACTTACATGGTTCATAAAGTTGCCAATTCTGAGAATCAGGTTTAAAATTTCAGGTAAGATCTCGCTTTGTAAAATACCTGGAATGAAAGAATCAGGTTTAGATTTGATTTTATGTTAGTAATGACAGAAAAGTATCTTATACAAAATACAATTTATTTAATCTTAAAATATGGTAAAATAATCTTTATTAAAATAATAAGTAAATTTTTGTACTCTACAAAATATTCTCTAAAATTTTGATATCACAATTAAATTAAACAATTATCATTCAAATTAACTTAAAAAGCTCGAAAATTATAAACGGAAGTTTAATCAACATCAATGTAATGTTTAAAGGTTTTCTAAATTAGATTTTAATTAACTTTTTTAAATTTTTATATAATAAAGTTTTTTAGAAAGTTATTTACATGCACATTTCTAAACTTCACTTTTTAGTAGTTTACTACCACCTGATGTAAAGTCGTTCTAATAACTAAGTTCAAGTGGTCGTAGCTCAACCAAATTTAGTTTTCAGAACTCACAATAATAAAAGTCAATTTTTTTTTTCAAAATAAATTTTATCAAAATTCATTATTTTGGTTAACTATGTGTCAAATTGACTAATTCCCAAGTGCTCTTAAATGGTTTTTTGTGCAAAACGCGATTAATATCTTTTCAAAAACATACTGAAAAGTATATTAAAACTGCACCAAAAGCCTTTCCCCGCATTATTGGAGTTTTATAAATAGCATTGAAAACAGATTCGAACTACTGAACAATAATTTTTTACTGAAACTGCTCCGATAGATAATTATGTTTTATTGAATAAATAACGAAAATTAATCTTCCGTGCCGGGAGATTATTTTTGCTAAAACCGCACCAAAAGATTAGCAAAAAATAATTTTTACCAAAACAGTACCGAAAAATATATTTTTACTAAAACTATACCAAAGAAACCAGTTTTTACTAGGGAAGACGAGGGTAGGTAAGCCATAGGGGCAGACTGGCCCAGTCGAGTTTATTCAAAGATTATGCGCTTTAGAAAGCTGTGAATCTAAGGTGGGTAGTAATTTAACCATCTTTTCAAAAAAATCATATTTAGTGGATCGTAGTTAAATTTAAATCTAAATTTAAAGCTTATATTTTAAGGATTATTTTAGTAAATAATGTTAAAATAACATCGGAGTGTCTATTCGCACGTTTTTCACTTGCGAATATTTAGTTATAGTCTATTCACACGTTTAATTATAAAAAGGGAAGATCATCGAATTTAAAGAGAATTCAAAAAAATTAGATTTATTATTGCTTGCCCAAGCCAAAACGAGGGTTTTGGCTTGGGCAATCTTTTAATTAAAAAAAAGAACTATTTCTTAATGTTTATTTTATCTATTGGCACAATTTTGTTGTTTTTTGAATAAAAATTTAATTATGTTTTAGTAATTTTATTTATTTTTATTTTAATTGATTAAAAAATTAAATTGCTTTCAAAATATATGACTTAAGTTATAAACATTTTTTGTTATTAAAAATCTAACTTGAAATTTTTTTTTAAACGAGCGAATAGACTATAATAAGATGTAGTCTATTCATTCGTGCGTGCGAATAGACTCACCCAAATAATATAGATAAATGGTTTAAGAATAAAAACGTTTGCACTTTAAACATAACAAAGGGACAGGTTGGCTCAATGCAAATGAGGCTTACTGGCCATATGATAAAACCGATCTTCAACTAATTATTTTTTGCTAAATAGCTTGTATTCATTTCCAATAATATTATTTTATGTTTTAAAATGGTTTAAAAATAAAAAACAAACTTGATATAAATAATAAGAATCGAATAAATGAGAATTTTACGTTTTTTCAATATTTAGAGGGTTTCATACAAAGGTTCAACACACTTTAAATTTCAATTATGAATTGTTTTTTAATTAAAAAAAATAATAAAACAGTCCCGGTCTACTCGATGCATACAACAAAAATTTCACTGTTTCAGTTGATTTAAATTAAAACAAAAAGTAGTTGTTAAATTTAAATTAAAACCAAAAAATGTTCTGTGATTTTAACTAAATCCTGCTGATGTATATAAAAAAAAAAATTCATTGTAAAGTTATAAAAGCTGTAAAATTTACTTTTGTTATTTATTTAAAGTTACTAAAATTTACTTGCATTACGTCGGATAAAAGTTAGTGTCGTATCATAAAGCACATGTTGTAGTTATTCTTACGCATTCTCGATCTACATTGTATGCGTTTATAATATTAGGTTTATATACGTTGTTACTACGTTACTACGTTATTACGTTGATCTTTTAGTTTATTTAGTTTTTAACAAATAATATTTAAAATCAACTGTTGTAATATTTTATAAAATTGGAGTGAAAAAAAGGAGTATCGAAACTGTTATTTTGTTTTCAACTCAAAATTTTAGCGGAAAAAAATGTGAAAATGTATAAAACATAAAACCATTTTAATTGGAAATTATTTTACTGTTTAAAACCTTTGCGATTTAGAAATATTGTTTGATTTAATGGGTTTTAACTGACTAAGAAACTTGGATTTTATTAAGTTTTCAAATTGGTAAATTGCCATTTGGTGAGAGAATAATTTTACAAATACTATTTATAAATTATACCACAAGTTATTTTATAAAAATATTGGTTTACCTTCGATTGCTTGTTTCAAAATTTTGATATTAGGCCCCAGGTTCTCTTTTGCTACTTCAAATTCTTCTTTTAAAATTAAACTTTTGATACGAAGTTCGTAACTGAAACAACATTTTATTTTATTTTTAATTATTTTATTTAATTATGAGCTTAATTTGTATTATAAAAATTTATGAGTTTACCTAATACCAGTAATACCAGTAATACCAGTATTACCAGTAAAGAAATATTTGATATAATATTTTCTAAATAAAAGTCAGAAATACCTAGACAAATTAATTAGAGCGATAAAAAACTTTTCGGCAGATCCAAGTTTTTCTTTATCTCCGTGAAACTCTTTCAGTTGTTCTTTCTCTGATGAATCAGGGAGAAGTTTTTCTAAACATTTTAGACGGTCCACTCCAAGCTCTGTAGCGTTTCCTTGCTTAATTAAAGCAATTACAGATTCAAAACCACTAAAAACAAAATAAAATGATGAATTTCTTGATAAATTTTTATGCTCCTTTTCATATATTATAAACGCTTTTTCAAATACTAAAAAATAATTATACCCTTTAAACTGTCGTAAAAAGATGTTAACATTCATGCTTCTTTTTCCATCCAATATTGCAATCTTAAAAAAAAATTATTATGGAAAAAGATGAATAAAAAGTCTTTACAAAAAATTCAATATTTCTTATGACTACAGGAAAAATAATCTCACTTCTTTTGGTTCACTTTTTTTTTCATCTTTTTTTTCTTCCTTCACAATCTCTTTTTGACAAAATAACTCTTCTTCCGTTCCATAGTCCGGTTCAACTCCGTTAACTTCAACTACTTTTTTCCAAACACTACTTGAACTTTTTTTTAATACGTGAGGAGGTATCTTGCTCCATTGTAACTTCTTCATTTTTTGGCTCGGTGTCTTTGCTGGTTTTAACCTACGGTTTGAAGGTTCTGCATTGTTTTGCTTTAAATTTGGAGCAAACAAACCTCCAGGTGGTGGTGGAACTCCGGGTGGTAACGATGGTATACAACCTGGAAATAGCGGTGGTGGAGGAACCCCTCCGGGAAATGAACCAGTTGTGCCCGGCAGAGGCGGTGCTAAAGGAGGTCCTCCATTAAATAAAGGAGGAGGCATTGGAATCCCTCCTGATATTGGACAACTTACAAACGCTGCTCCTGGCAGAAGTGGAGGAAATGGAGGTCCTCCATTTAAAGGAGGTGGTGGAGGTGGTGGAGGAACTCCATCAGGTATTAAAAACGGTGCCCCAGGTAATGGAGGTGGAGGAGGAATTCCTCCATTTACATTTTGTGGGGCTGTTGAAGATGGAAAGAACATTGCTGGAGGTGGGGGTGGAGGTGGAGGTGGAGGAGGTGGGGATGATGACGAAGTACTAAGTATTGGAGTTGATAAAATAAATGGTGGGGGAGGTGGTTGTGGAATAGAAGTTATTAGTAAATCATCTTTTTTATTTATTAAAAGTGTTTGGTTCAGTTGACCACATATTTTACAGTTTGTATTCTGATCAGAATTTTCATCAAACTTAGTTTTTTCTGTTTGAGTCTCTTTGCTTTCATTTATTTCATTTTGTTTTTTAAGATATTCGGTTTGCGTTTCTTTTTCGCATTTTCCTAAGATGCTTTGATGCAAGCCAACCAAATCCTTTTCAAGCTTTTGTTTACACAGAATTGAACTAGCTTCACTTGTAACCATAGAAATGCGAACCACAACATCTTCAATGGCGTTCCATATAAGATCTTGACATTCATTTTCTTCAGAAACTACAAGCAAACTTTGAAGAATGGCGAGAAAGTTGTTGGCAACCGGTTTCTCAGCAATCTAATATATATACAACAACGACAATAAGAAGATATTTATTCTCCTTTTTAAATCATACAATAGTATTACAATATTAATAAATATAATAATAGCAAAAATGATAAAAATAAAAACCATAATTCTATTGATTGTAGTAAGTAAAAATAATTGATTAATCAATAATATATATGTATATATATATATATATATATATATATATATATATATATATATATATATATATATATATATATATATATATATATATATATATATATATATATATACATAATAATAATAATATAAAATAATATACTAATGAGTAAATTAATTATAAGTATTTAATAATAATAGCTAAATGATTGATAAGGATGGCGTCACTCAAACAGAATTCTAATCAAAGGAGTGACATCAATTTTTAAATATAATATGATTAATAAAAAGCATACACACATAGAACATACATAAACTAATAAACATTTAAAAATCATTCTTTGATGATAATAAAAAAATAAAAATAAAAACAAGAAGTTAATGATAATAGCAGTCTTCTCCGTTTGACGAGCCCTTGCGCTCTTGCAGTTTTGCGCTCGCCTACACGCCCACCAATTCTACGGCTGGTGCTTTTTTAAACTCTCGCCAAAAAATTTCAAGCGTGTTTTTAAATTGCAAGGTGTTTGAAGTTGTAGTTTTTTGCAAAAGTGTTTGAAGTTGTAGTTTATATATATATATATATATATATATATATATATATATATATATATATATATATATATACACACACACACATATACTAAAATTTAATATTCGTAGCTTATTTAATAACAGTTTTTGTTGTTGTTGATTTTAACCAAAAAATGTTTATATTTTAGAAACAACTTCTTTTTTTTTCCACTAATTTTTATTAAATTAAATGCCAGACTTTTGAAAATGTTAAAACTCACTGTGTAATCACACACTCACACACACACACACACACACACACACACACACACACACACACACACACACACGCACACACACACATGCACACAAATTGTTTCACATAACCATTTCTAAATTTGACATTTTTGTTTGTGTTGTATATGTTTTATATATTTTTTTCTTATTTATAGTATACCACGAGGAGCACTTAAATCAGTGATGAAATAAATAAGTTGTTTCAAGACGAGTAAATGAATAAGTTGCTTCGAGACTTACTTATTGATATGAACAGCAGACTTCAAGACGGATGTGTATAAATTTTTAATCAGAAATCTGAACATCTATTTGTACTCATTACTAATAATACATATTAAAAAACCATGCCTTTGTCTTTTTTAATTTAATAAATAATTTGAATAGTAATTATCTAGGAAAACTTACATCATGAACTAGAATGTTATACTGTTGGTCTGCATGGAATTTTTTAAAAAGCAGCATTTTTCATAGCCACAAGTTATTTAAAACATCTATTAGAATAGAACGTTGAGAAACATTGTAAGAAACCATAGAGTGAAGAATTAGATGATAGCGGATTTGTTTATAATTTTGATAAGTTTATATTCAATATTATTTATTATTAAATCGTGTTTATAATATAGTTTGTAAAATTCTATAAAATATTGGCAGGTTTTTCAGTTTTTTAAATAAAATTATCCAGACTTATGTAGTTTGTCGGATAAAACCAAAAAAATACAATAAAGTGTTTTTTTATAAAACCGAATATTTTTATTTTAAATATAGAAATATAAAAAAAAAATCGATGTCTTATGAAAAAATCAGTTCAATATCTTGAATGCTTCTTTATTTATAAGCCTATTTCCTTATTTTGTTATAGAATCGACGTATAGTGTAGCGTACGAACAGCGGGACGGAGGAGGCGATAATCCCAACTTTTAAAAATTTCAATTTTTTTCATTCAAGTTCTGATTCTGATTGCCTTAGACCCCTCCTCCTCCAAAACCACTGTATATATATATATATATATATATATATATATATATATATATATATATATATATATATATATATATATATATATATATATATATATATATATATATATATATATATATATATATATATATATATATATATATATATATATATATATATATATATATATATATATAAAGAAAATAAAACAAACAAGAAAAGAAAATGTGTCAACAGTTACCTGTTGAAAAACGGCATTAAAAACCTGTTGATGATCGTTTAAGTTAAATCCATCAGATGTGATCATCAACTCATCATCATTCTGTTTTTGTTCGTCGAAAACACTAATTTGTATAAAAATTTCTTCTTCCTGCTCATGTCTGTAAATTTAAAGAACAAAGTATAATTATAATTCTTTTAAATTTAATTTACATGTGTTTATCATTAAAGTAAGGTTGATAATATATACCTTAAAGTTGTCAACAAATCTAATAGTCCGAGGCCTGAAAAATATATTAAAAAGTATGTTGAAATAAGTTTTATTTATCCTGATATTTTTTATAAACTTTTTAAACAAGAATACTAATAAATATACTATAAAAGAAGTTTTAAATACCAATAAACTCATTTCTTAAATTTCTTCTTTCAGTGAAATCCATTGTTGACATTAGGATTACGTTAATAAATGCAATAATCGTTGTTTTATATGCAAGCAGCTCTGCATTTTTTAACTCGTTTATTATAATGCTAAACCTGTAACGCTGACTTTTTTCGTTCTTTAAAAAAAAGTAGCATATTACAGTATACATTATACAGCTACATTTAAAAATTGATTTTTTTTTATTATAATTGAGATTTCCCGGAGGAGTGTTTTTTGTTAAAATTGTATGGTAATTTAAATTATTATTTTAATTAACTGTCATACTTTTAACAGGAAGAAATTTTTTTCAATAAATTTACTTTTAAAACTAAAGAACAAGGATAAAATTTTGGAAAAATGATACAGACTCTTAAAAATTGTTGACGTACCTTGAAATGTTCAAGTGAGGAAAGCGCTAATTCGTAACCTTGACTGTTGTATAAGCAAACGGCCGATAACATTTCGAAAACCTGTTTTTTCACCATTGTGTTGCTTGTATCCAGTGCTAAAATATTTAAAAATGTTTTTAGAAATATATTTTTGTAAATACCATTTCAAAAAACTGTATATGCAAGAGTTTTTTCTGCATTCTGTAAACTTTAAACGTTGTCCTATTTTAAAAAATTCAATTTTATTTTGCAAATTTTATTTCTTTATGAAAAAATCTTTATAAAAAAAATCTCCTTAAAATAAGATTTTATCTTCTCTAGATGGTATCTCCTTATTAGGAGATACGATCTACATCAAAAGAGAACTTTATTTTATCTCGTATTAATATTAGTTCCATTCAGTTTTTTTATATACTTAAAATGGGTTTAGGTTTTAAAAAACACTGACTTAAATGGGGAAGCTTACCAAGTATAATGCTATTTACCACGTCGTGTTCTCCTTCGATTATAAAAATCATTCCTTCATTTCTGCTAAGTATTGTTTTTATACAGTTAATGATTTCTATTTGTAAAAAAGCTGATGAAAAACGAAACGCTGACTTCATTTCTGAATATTTTAATGTACAAAAAATTGCCTGTAAACCTTTGAGCTCTATAAATTCTTTTAACCATTCTGAGGTACAATTTTTTAGCCATTTATTTAACGCCAAATAATTTACTGACGATGGTCTGTAAAGCTCATTACAACACTCTTCTATGTCTGAAAAATCTATAGAATCATTTTCTTTATTGTTTCCTATATTGCCACTACTCAATCTTTTCACGCGAGTCCAATGTGAAAGCATTTTAAATGACTATTTTACACCTCATAGTTTTAAACATATCCGAGTATGTTTTATTAACCGTTTTTTTTTCTTTTTTCATTTAAACGAATACAAAAATACACACGTTTAATATCGATCATTAACCTAGAAGCCTCATTAATTATTTCTTACATAAAATAAATGGGTGACATCCTGACTTTAAATGACTTTGTAACTAAAGTGGTACGTAATAAAAATTGTCAAGGATTTATTTGTGGATTGTAATGAACATTTGCTGTGTGGTTTTAGGGCTATGCGTTAAAAGTCAAACACCGTTTGGCTGTGCCTAAATAACTTATTACTATAATCAAACAAGAAGCTAAAAAGCGATTAGCAAACAACTGTTTATCAATTAATAATTTATAAATACTATTTTGACCATTTAATCCAAATATCTTGCAATAAGCCAGGTGAAAGTAAAAAAAAAGACACTGGCCATTTTTTTACATTCACAAAAACAAAGTAAATTAAATTTACATTCACAAAAACAAAGTAAACAACAACTTGATAGGAAAAAATCGGAAAATAATTTCTCTTGAATTTGCTTTTAATTAAACAAAAAAGTTTAAGATATTGTTTTTAATTTTAGCAGAGCGTAATCAATTATCGTTTAATATCGTTTAATTTCAACTTTCGTTTAATAAAAAATCAAACGCAAATTTAATTGAAAAGTCAACTTTTAAAAAGTTTTTTATCAGCTGCTTAAAAATAATTGCCTGTGTTTAAAAAGTTTTTTTTTGGCACTTCAGAAGACCTACTAGAAAAAACAAATTTCCGGATAAAATATTGTACTTTTTTTTATTAGTAAAACCACGGAAGTATAATTAATTTGGACCGTATGAAAATGTTGCGGCACTTTTTGTTAATGAACAAAAAAAAAATACTTTGCAGCTGAACAGAAACGCTCGACTTTTTATTAAAAGTAATTTTATTTAATGTTTCCGACAACAATCAATATTATCAATATTAACGTAAACATGACTCGAAACACACATGAATTATACTTAATTAAACATTATACATTTGTTATTAAGTAATTTTTTTTTAACATACAGAAATATCTTTAATTATTTTAATATCATGTCGTGGATCAATGCAAGAAAAACAACTTTAACCCATAGAGCATTTCGCTCAAAAATTGACAATTTTTCGTGAAAAAACCGTCAGTCAAACGTTCAAAAGACGTTCAGAACGTTAAAACCATGTTCAAATGACGTTTTTGTGAAAATTTAGCTGGAAAGTAAAAAAGACGAGTCTATTTAATTACTTTGCTCTAATAAAATTACCATAGATGGTGTCTAACTATAGAACGTGTATAAGTTTAGATGACGTATGAGTATTGATAGCGGATAAATTTAAATATAAACGGCGTATAATTATAGATGGCCTAACTATATTTGTTATTAATACAACAAACATACAATACTTGATGTATTATAACAGTCATTCCTGAATTAAATTTAAAAACTTATATTTTGTTAACTTAAATTTTTAATATCTGTTACCACAGCTACTTGAAATTACTTAGATGCTTATCGCTAAATGAACACATCTCTTTTATACTGATAAATCTACTTTAAAACTACAGAAAAAAAATGTATGTTCATTATTACGTTGTTAAGGATGCTTTGCAAAAACAGCCTAGGGTCAAAAAATTATATATTTATAATTGACTCCCAACCCAGAAATTAACTTAAATAATATTTACTAAACTTTAAAATTTCCGATAATCACAGTTTATTGTAACGTACATGCATTTTTTTGGGTCAAAAAAACAATTATAGTTCGTCATATATTAGTTTATCGAAGGGATATAATTAATTACTCATTAAACCAACGTTGACGTTGTAAATATTTAACTTAATTGGTACTGTTTTAAACTAGTGTTAGTAGACGTTATGTTGGTTAAACGTTTTTTTGATTAACGTTGTTATGACATACGAGCAGCTGCTATTTAATATAGTGTTAATATTAAGTTGTACATTTTACGTTGACTTAAGGTAGCGATTTGGTTGGCATACATACCTTAGAGTTGTTCATAGGGCTAACAAAAAGACTGCACACGTTTTATACTTAAGCGTTATAATGAGTCACTTATGGTCTAATTAGGCATTTAAAATTCCTTAGTCTTAATGGAGTTATTACTTAACCAGCAAAAAAATTCTCAATGATTTACATTATATATTACAAACTAAGATCCGCAGAAACCAATATAACTTTAACTAAAGCGTCCTAACTAGCAACCATAGGTCAAGAGTAAATTTATTTTGAAAAACAAAGATATAAATAGTGAAAAAGATCAGTATAGCTGCAAATTCAATTGTATTAATTAACGCAAATGAACCAGCATTCAATTGCAATAATTAAGGCAAATGACCAAAATTGACCCAGCTACATATTTATTACTGTCGTACTATTTTTTTCTTAAAGCATATAACAATAGAAAAAAACCCTTCTTATAGCAATTTTTAAAGAAATTATAAATTAAAAGAGTTTTTATAAAAACACTACAAGAATTTTATTTAAACATCAAAACGTTTGTTTAGGACAATATGGTACTATTTCAAAAATAAAAAAATTTCACTACTTATTACAATTCTTTTTGTGGTATGGATTTCAAACACACAAACATACTTTAAACATCACATGTTTATGAGATTTATATATTAAATATAAAAAATTTAATTATGTTGGAATCAAGAATTTTAAAAGACTAAAAATATGCTTTTCTTTCTTTTTCTCTTATCTTAAACTTTTACTAAAAAGTCTGAAAAATAGTCCAAAAACTTAAAAATAAAAAAAGTTGGGGCGGAGATCAGAACATCCCTTCCCTTAAGCGCACCTGGAATCAACAAGTTAAAAATAACAATAATTTAAAACCTAAAGAAGACTTAAACTGAGTATTATACAAAATTATTTTAACTTAGTACAATACAAAATTGGATATTATATTGAAGGTTTAAAGAATTAACAAAACTCAAAATATTAAACATGCACCACCCCAGTAGATTTTTTTAGGGATGTAACGTTGCAAAAGTGTGGTTGCATATTTTTGAACAACTTTTAATCGTTTATTATTTGAATGTTTGATATGCGTTGTTTTGTTGATTTTTTAGTTGTCATATATACTTTTATATTATCGCTTTTTATCATGGAAAATACTTATAAATCAAGCGTTGTTAACAGAAATGTTATTTAAAAAAATAGAAAGAATAGTTTTCAGTTTCTATCGATAGTAATCGATAGAATAAGCGTACAATATCTAAAAATTACCTTTCATTTCCACATTGAAGATAGCAATGTCAAAAATTAGAATCCTTCTTATACGTAAATATTAAAATGAAATGCTTTTTTAATTTGCAAGCAAACATAATTGATTCCAAATATTGATAAAAAATAATAGATAAATTTGAATCTGAATTTTCGTTTTTCTCGCTCCAATTTGTTAACTTTATCTGTGTGTAAAAAAAACCCGCCAAGTCTGTAAAAAACCTTATCTATGAAAAACCTTTTAAGTGCAATTTCAACTCTTATCGAATAGTTTTTTGCTGTTTAATTTTTTAGTGAATAAAATATTCTTTAAAAAATTTATAGCTTTAGTTTTTATGAAATTTTTTACATTTTCAATAGCTTCCATAACTCTGACTTTCTATAGAAACTTAATTTTAATTGTAAATTTCTTAATTTGGTGGATTCATTTATTTTGACAATTCAATATTCATTTGAGTTATCCAAAGTGAAATTAAAAAAATAAAGCATTGCAATTATGTGGCGTTATTATTTGCTAATATATGCACACAATAAATATAAGTAGATAATTAATATAGCATTTAATATATAAGATATAAAACGTAACAACAACTTAAAAAAAAATTTTGTGTTGTTTAACAATAGTTAATTTAATCAGAATAGAGTACCACGCGCCAATTATGTATAGTATAAATAAGACCAATTATGTATAAATGATATTTCAGTATAGAAAGTATAAATGATATTTCAGTATACAAAAGTTACTTTTGCTGTCAATATACTGGTAACGAATGCCTATTCTGTAGAAGATCTAAATAAACATTTTGAATGCAAAAATAAAAACATCTTAGACTAATATATAAACCCAATTACGTAAATATCAATACATACATATATATATATATATATATATATATATATATATATATATATATATATATATATATATATATATATATATATATATATATATATATATATATATATATATATATATATATTAATGACTTTTGTTATTTGTGACCTGAGTTCGAGTGTGTAAGCAGTGTGATTAAGTAACTACTTTGAACGAGTTTAGACACCTGATCACCAGATTTCACTAGCACACACAAGCACGCATAAGTTTGAAAATTATATAAACAACCTAATATTCTTATTCTTATTAAAAAAAAAAAAAATTTTTGATAAATTTATCTGTTGCGTTATTTTTTCTTTACTCGCATTTTAATTGCTTGTATTTCATTTTCCTTCGAAACTGAAAGCTTTTACAAAAATTTTTAAAAGCATTCGTATTCAAAATTGCAAATGAAAATCCCAAAAACATCATAAACTTCAACTTATAATAATTTCTCTAACGTCTAAGTCATCTACTGACATTTATTTAAGAAAAGAAAATTTGAAAAAATAAGTATAAATATTTGAGTTTAAACTCAAGTTCAAAATATTTTTTGGTTTTTTATCTAAATTGTTCACTATTATGCAAGTAGTAAATAGCAAATTCTATTTAATCAAAAAAAAAAATTACTTCATGGTCTACTTCATACATATACACTCAGGGAAGGCGGAAGCATTTTTTGGTCTTCGAGATATCTAACTTCCAGACATGGAACAAACTCCAATCATTTACATGTTTATACTTATGTCAAATATTGATGCTTCGCAAAAAGTTGCTATGATTGGAGCCTGGGAACAAAAAACCCTTAAAATTTTAGCCCCCCTGCCCCCAACGTGAGAGCAACAAGTTGATGAAATAGTTTTGGATCTATTTTCATCTAGACTTATATTTATCAAGAAATTTTAAGTTTTATAGCATAATTTTTCAACGTTTAAAAAATATGACCATAAAAAATTTGCAACCCCCTCAAGTTGAGGGGGTTAAACTTTATATGGTCATATTTTTTTAACGCTAAAATATTTTACTATAAAATTTAAAATTTATCTGTGAATATGAGTCTAGTAAAAAATACTTAAAAAAATATTTCATCAACTTGTTGCTCTCACGTTTGGGGCAGAGGGGGCTAAAATTTTAGGGCTTTTTTGTTCCCAGGCTCCAATTATAGCAATTTTTTGCAAAGCATCAATATTTGACCTCAGTATAAACATATAAATGTTTGGAGTTTGCTCCATGTCTGGAAGTTAGATATCTCGAAGACCAAGAAATGCTTCCGCCACCCCTGTAGACACTTTATACATATATTCTTTATACACATTTTTTACACATACTTTTAAATTTTTTTTTACTTATACTATTTGTTATTATTATTACTTATTTACTCCTTTTTTAACTTATACATTTTATACAGTTTACTTATGTATAAAGTAGGTCATGAATGTATTAAATTTTAAACGAAGAGTAATACAATTATTTATAAATTTTTAAACGAATTCGTCTAGTTTTATTTTTTATCACATGTCTTTTTCGCATTGAAAAAATGTTATAAAATCAGTTAATAAAATAATAATGTTATAAAAAGAGTAAAAAATTGTGCTAAAATATAGTAATTACTTTAACTAGATCATAATTAGACGGGGTATTGTTATTTATCCTCCTTCGGCGGATGTCTTGCGAAGTCACCTCATTACCCAAGTCCGTATACACGACAGCATTCTCCTTTCGGAGTACTCTTACTCTATGATATTGGACAAGGAAAAGAGAACTTTGAGAAATATACAAGACATTATAATGTACAGTAGGAAGTGAGCAAGTGAGTTAGGAAGGGAGAATAGAGAAAATGCAGACAGACCCGGTCATTTAAGAAACACTATAGCAGAGAAAACTCTTACGCCAGTAACGACTAAAAAGTTTCGTTATGCATTTTTTTCCGTTTATATTATTATTATAATTAGACAGCAACTTTTTTTTGTTTTCTTAAGTATTTGTAAGTCATTTAATATTTAAAAGCTATACATTTTGAAAGCTTTTCATGATTGTCTTTCTACTTGAGTTCTTATATTAAATTGTAGTTTAACTTAATATCTAATACCCTAAATTTTATTTTGACCGAAAAAAAAATCTGATTCTGATGTTTTAAATACTTGATTTTTATGATTAAAATGAAAAATTTAAAAATGCTAAAAAATGTTGCTATGAACAATAGTTATAAGCAAAAAAAAAAAGCAACAGGAAAACATATTTAAAATAATTTTTTGCTTTGTAATACAATACGAAAAAATAATGGGATTGTACAAAGTACTTTTTATTTTTTGTACAGAATAGAAGTCTAAGGTAGTGATTAAAGTTTTTTTTTTTTTAATGTTTAAAAAGGAGGTTACCAGATTAAAGTAAGTTTAACAGTACTGTATTACAAAACTTTGAACTTACTTGGTAAAAGATAATAAATCAACATTTTTTTATCTTCAAGTAAATACTCAATCCCAACGTGGTTGCTGATTACAGTTTTTATACAACTAACGATTTGAAGGATCATAACTGCGTTGTTTAAGCAATATTTATAGTTATTCATAGCAGATAATGCCTCAAACATTAGTTGTAGGAATCCACTTTGCAAAAAATGCATAAGCAAGTTTGTTGTACATTTACTTAACAAGTTATTGATTTTTATTAATTTCTTTAAAGAGGGCTTTTCAAGGAGTCGTTCACATTCCTTTAAATCTATGCGTTCAGGATTTAAAGAAGTTATACTTTTTGTGTTTTTTTCATTTAAAACGTTGTTTTTAATTATTCTCCAGAATGGTTCTACAACTTCCATAGATGCGGAGTTTTTTGCACTATGTACACTAATAAGACTTGTTTGAGAAGCAGAATTTTGTGCTTTCACACTATGTACACTAATAAGACTTGTTTGAGAAGCGGAATTTTTTGCCTTCACACTATGTACACTAATAAGACTTGTTTGAGAAGCGGAATTTTGTACCTTCACACTATGTAAACTAATAAGACTTGTTTGAGAGTTACTCTTTTCTAATTTTTTATTCTCTTTTGATTCTTCAATAGGGTTTGTAACAAGATCATTCGCAACATTACTTCCATCGATGCTTGTTTTTTCAATGTTGTTGTTAAATACGTAACAACGAAGCTGGTAGTTTTCAGCAGTTTCTTCGTTTTTAGTATTTTCTTTTTCCTTCTCAACAACAGCTGCATTTTTATTTTTAGCATAATTTTTCTTTTTTTTTGAATAAAAACTTCCAATCGATAAACAACCTCTACAAGACATGGTTAAAATAGTTTCAAAAGATTTATCTGATTAATTAAATCATTTTTAATGCCTGGTTTACACAGTGAATCAAAGATTAACGTAACGTTCACGATCAAATAACAAATACAAGTTTAATGTCTCAAATAACTAAAAAAGCGCAAAAACTTTTTCCAAGTCATAAAGCTTTAAGTAAATTTTTCATTAATGTGTAACGTATAACAAACCATTGCTAAATTTATTTTGAATTGTTTTAATTCTATTTAAATTGGAAGTAGAAACAATCCTAAAACTATGCACCATATTCAAAATTTGAAAAACTATTTTATTTATTAATGATAATTCAATAGACAATGTTGGCGATTGTACCTATTATTTTAAATAATTATATAACGTAAAAAACGTTTTTAGCCAAACAGAATTGATCACGAGCATGCGTACTTTACTTGTTTTAACCATGTGATTTTTTTTTTAATTCTTTTTCGTTTTAAATAAATTCATACAGAATCTTTTTAGTGGTTTCTGTTTGATAAGACAATTTATGTAAACACGCTCGATTGGTTCAATTTTAGTATAGTTTAAAAAGACCAATCAAATCACTTTTTTTACGCGGAAAAAAACTTTGAACTAAATAGAGAAATTCTGAGATGTCTTTAAAAACGAAAAGCCTTGTTTTAAAAAGGAACTAAGGGGTCGTCTTTACGCTTTATGGGGGGCAGGGGTTTATTTTTCATTTATTCATAGCTACCTAAGTTATGCAAACGTTGCCTGGTGTAGCACTAATGCAACTAAAATAAAAAAAAATTTAATTAAACAAAAGCATGCTTTAAGAATTATTGGAAATGTAGATCGTTTCTCACACACTAAACCTCTATTTATTAAATTTAATATTCTAAACGTATTTCAACTAAATCTTTATCAAATTCTTATTTTTATGATTAAAGTTAATAAAAAATATCACCTATTTTATTTGACTCATTTTTGGAAAAAATAAATCACCTATACCCAACACGAATTTCAGAAAACAATTATATTAAACCTAAAACCTATTACTCTGTTACAAAGTTTTCAATTGCAAACAGAGGTCCTAAACTATGGAGCACGTTATTAAATAATGAGTTAAAAATATTGAGTTAAAAACTATTTCTTCTATTAAACATTTTAAAAACAAACTTATGCAAAAACTTTTAAGAATTAAATTTTTTCTTAAGCCTTTGACTAGGAGTAATCACGTTTGTCTGTTTATTTTATTTCTTTATAAATATGGTTTAAATATATATTCTATATATATTGTTAGTCGATTTGTACATTATGACGTTGTTTTTTTATTTATTTGATATAATAAACTTTAACAAAAAACATAAAAAAACATATACACATATATAAAAGACATATTAAGTTACTAAAAATGTTTTTAAAAATGTTTGTTTTTTTTGTTTTGTTTGTTATTCGTGTATTATCTGTTATTTTATACTTGTAATAAAATAAAATAAGATAAACAAAAAAAAAAACAAAAAAAAAAAAGATAAATACATATACTTATATTAAGAGAGTAATATCATTAATAAACTTTGTTATTGTGGGTTGTGATAATAACATTCTTTTAAAATAATTTTTTTTTTAAGTTGTCTTGATTTTTTATTAAAGCTTTACTTTATTTAAAAAAAAAAACATTTAAAATCTAGCATAGTGAGATCCATCAATAAGAACAACCGTTTAGATTCTTTTTTAAATTGATCAAGAGTGGTTTTCTTTTTATTTGTAATATCTGAAAATAAATTCCATAAAAACGGCCCACAATACTTAATTGGGTATGAACTCAATTTTAGACCATATCTTGGGACAGCAAAGTTGTTTACTGAGAATCTTGTGCTTTATTTATGGCAGATTTCACTAAAATAGGATTCAAATATTTTTAGCGACATTCCTAGCTTAGTTCTATACATAAAAACTAAAGTTTCATGTAAATTTGTTTTATAAGTTTTAAAGTAAACACAGTAAAGGCTCACAGGGTTCTGCTCTATTTACTCTGAATATAGTTCGACACGCATGTTTTTGTTTACTGCAAAGCTTTTTTAATTTTGCGTGATTGGTACTTGCCCAGGCGATATTACAGTATGTTAGGTAACTTTGGATAAAAGTAAAGTATACACCTTTTAGTGATTTAAAATTAAGAAGTGATTTAGCTCTATAAATCATTCCTATATTTCTAGAAATTTTTTTTTCGAGGCTGTTAAAATTAAAATTCCATCTTAAATTTTCGTCGAATTCAACGCCTAAAAAGTTTACCGATGATTCTCTTTTAATTATAGCTTTATTTATAATAAAATTTGGTAATTTTAATGTAAAATCCTAATGTAAAATAATCGTTGTTTGGGGCGTCCGATATTTCGTTTACAAGCTCGACTACTGCGTGTTCGGTTGAATGCTTTTTTATTGAACCCGAACTGTTTTTAGACAACATATCGTTTTTTGTCAGATAATCATAAAGCCTGTTGCCCCAGCCATGTATTATATATTTGTATTGCATAAACTTGTAGACTTTTTTTTTATCGGCGAAATACATAATAATAATAATAATAACAAAAAAAAAAAAAAAAATAGGTTAGTTGTTTTGTGAAAATTCATACGAAACTTTTTACTAAAGTGTTACGATTTTAAGACGAGGAGGAAAGGAAGGGGGTGGGGTGGAGGAAGAGTGTCTAAGACGGTCAAAAATTGCATACCGTAATTTGCGTACAACCCATAAGTCACATTTTACCAACGATATAAAGATATATACCTAGATATTGAACTTCGCCGTTTCTAGTGAAGCCAATTTAATATTACGTAATGCGTTAGAAGCCATTATTATTATACCGGCCAAAGAGCTTTATGCCATCATTGTCAAATGAAATAAGATTGGCAATTTTACAGTCTAAATTAAGGTAGGAAATAAAGATGATTATTTCAGAGATAATTTAAAGGCCTATAGTTAATATAAATTTGGTTGGTCAAATAGGATTGTACTAGCTGAAAAGCTAAAACATATTTGCATTTAGGACTTTAAAAAAACATTGTAATATATTTTAATCTTTTATACAACAAAAATAAACATTTATAAACCCTTAAATAATAGTAACTGATTCATTTGTTGTCTTAAATCAATTGATTACTTTCTTAGGGGTTTCGTAGTATATTTCTGGGCATATTTAAACAGCAGAGTTCTGAAATAATATTCTCCTATCTTTCTATTAAACTGGCTTCATTTATTTTCATCAAGAACACTTATTTTGTGGCAATGAAATTCGATATGTTTTCTTGAAAGTTTATTTGCGAATTTCAAACCTTCAAACTCTTGTAATTCAAAAAAAGGTTTAAAATAACTTCATTGAATATAGCGATCATTAGGAAAAAAAAACATACACACACAAATCATTTAAAGAAAATCTAGCTAATTTAATCATATGGCATGGATATATGAAATTGTGATTTCACATGAAAAAGTATTAACCATATATTTAACATTTTCGCCATCTGTGACAACCAACTGCAACACATCTTCATAGATTTATGCTTAAATTGGCTAAAATTTCTCTAAATCATATGTGTGTGTATGTTTTTTTTTTTGTTTGTTTTTGTTTTGATGACAATTATTAATCAGTAGTTAACAGTAATTAGTTTTAGCTAAGGAGCAAAAATAGCACAAATTTACTTTTGTACAATATTTCGAAAATTTTTTCAAAACTTATCCGCATTATTAAAATTAAAAAAAAATTTTCGGCATGTAAAAGTAGTGACCCTAGAATGATACTACCTAAAATAAGAATGTAAATTTGACATGAAAATTATTTCTAAACGTAAATAAATTTTATCATTTTTATATGATTAGCTTGATGATGCATCAAATAAATATTTGATGCATCATCAAGCTACTCTATTTTATTGAAGCTATTTTATTTGAATTATCATTAAAAGTATATATTATTATTGTATTATATATATATACATATATGGTTACTTCAATTTAAACAAAACTTCCGCGTAATGTTGTATTTAAATATGAAAATAGCATTATAGTAACTCGTCCCAACAAAACACAAGATTTGAACGTTATACTTAAAATCATAATTGTTGAAAAAAAAAAGACTTTAAAAGATTTAAATAAAACATGTGTCGATTCTATGATAAACCCCTCTTAAATATTAAAATAAAAAAATAAAAAAAATCAACATATAGTTTTTTATTATGAGTTTTTATTATTACTTAAATACTATGTTCCTGAATTCCTTTTTATCATTTATACTTAAACCTTAGTTCCTAAAAAGGCATGATCTCAAAATCCCTAACTGAATCTTAAAGTCTTTAATAAATACAAAAAACCCTGAGTTTTTAATTACGAAAGTCTTTGAATGACGTAAACGTTTTTTAATTGTTAAAATAGAGATTATAAACCAGACACAGGCTTAGTTCAATAATTTAAAAATTTGTAAAAAATAAAATAGGAGATTACTAAAACATAAACATGTAGGCTTAGAGAAAAAAAAATTTTAAATTACTATTAATTACTTAATTTCTTAATTACTAATATGTTAAAGATTTAGATTTATTTTAATATAAAAGATTTTAATTAATTTATTAGTAAATTTGATTCAACAAGTCATAAATTTACTACATAGAATTAAGAGATTAACTGAACGAAATACAGGAAAGAATTTGGATTATATCTGTAAATTATCAGATATATATATATATATATATATATATATATATATATATATATATATATATATATATATATACATATATATATATATATATATACATACATATATATATATATATATATATATATATATATATATATATATATATATATATATATATATATATATATATATATATATATATATATATATATATATATATATATATATATATATATATAAATATATATATATATATATATATATATATATATATATATATATATATATATATATATATATATATATATATATATATATATACATATATATATATATATATAATATATAAACAGTATATATACTATTATTTCTCAGCGCTCAAAAATCATAAATAAATAAAGTTTGAACTTCTTCAATTTTAGATGGGTTCAAACTCTCTAATTCGAATCTTCTTAATTCGAAAACCTCCATAATTTGATTAAATG